TGAACCTGCTTCTACATTTTCAGCTATCTTTGTCACAGCCTGGCAATGTGGTAAAAGAAGAAAAGTTTGCTTTCAGGGGGAAACTTCAAGAAGGCTTCAGATACGTGCATTAAAAATAGCACAGTGCTAATAGCCCAGAGATTGGCATAAAGGCCTTGAAGGCATTTCATAGTTTCACTTCACAGCATTAATTTTCCGTATGTTCTGTATGTTCGTAAAGAAAGAGGTTTAATTTGACTCACAGTTCTTCAGGCTGTAGAGGGAGCGTTGTGATTTCTGCTTCTAAGAGGATGCAGGAAGTCTCCCAATCATTCCAGAAGGCCAAGTGGTAATGCAATGTTTCATATGGCGGGAGCAGGAGCAAGACAGAGGAAAGAGCTGCCATACCCTGGTATACAACCAGGTCTCATGAGAACTCACTATCATGAGGACAGCATCAATAAGATGGTGCTTACCCATTGGTGAAGAATCCATTTACCCCCCACTGTTTCCAGGCAGAAGCCTGCTGCAGAGGCAGAGCCTCTTGGAAAACCTGTACTAGGGCAGTGCAGAAGGAAAATAGGGGCTTGGAGCACCCACACAGGAGAGTACCATCCTCCAGACCCCAGATTTATAGACCCATCAACAGCTCCCACCCTCAGTATGGAAAAGCTACAGGTACTCAACACCAGCCCAGCCTATGAGAGCAGTCATCAGGGCAAAAGCCTGCAAAGCCACAGGTGCACTGTCCTAGTAGAGGTTTTCCATGAGCCTATGCCTCTGCAGCAGGCTACTCACCCTTTCTACTAACCCCCACCTTCCCACCACCCAACTGCCATCCTACTCCTCCCCACCTTATCCACCTCTTTTTTCTCCCAGCTCCACCCCTCTCCAGTCCCCGAATAAAACACCTTTCACCAGGCCCTACCTGCAACATGCAGAATTACAAATACACCTGTGTTTTGGTAGGAACACACAGCCAACCATATTATTCTGACCCTGATCCCCCAAATCTCATGGCCTTCTCACAGAGTAAAATACCATAATGCCCTTTAAAAAGTTGCCAAAATTCTTACCTCATTCCAGCATTAACTCAAATGTAAAAAGTTCAATGTCTCCTGTGAGTCAAGGTTACAGTCCCTTTTGCCTATGAGTCCCTGAATTTAAAAGGAACTTCTTTTCTTTCAGTGTACAAGGAAGGTTCAGGTATTGGTAAGCTTTCTCAATCCACAGGGGAGAGATTTCCCAGGAAAATAACACAAATGGGACCACAGGCCCAATGCACATCTAAAACACAGCAGGACAGTATTCATTCAATCTCACAGCTCCAAAATCATCATGAGAACTCACCACCATGAGGAAAGTATTAAGAGGATGGTGTTTAACCATTTGTGAAGATCCTCCTTCACATTCGCCTTCCACCCTTCACTTCCACCATAATCCCCCATTTTCCACAACCCCCACCTTCCAACACCCACTGCCCTCCATGATTAAGTCACCTTCCACCTGACTCCACTTTTTACACTTTTGATTACAATTTCACATGAGTTTCTGTAAGGACAGGCAGCCAAATCTTGTTACTCTGTCCCTGCCTTCCCAAATCTCATATTCCAAATCCTTCTCACTTTGCAAAACACAATGATGCCTTCTCTACAGTCTTCCAATGAGACTTAACTCATTCCAGCATTTACTGAAGTGTCCCAAGCCCAAAGTCACATCTGAGACAAAGCTGCAGTTCCTTCTGCCCCTGAGCCTCTGAAATATAAAAGCAAGTTTAACTACTTCCAAGGTACAATGATTGCCCAGGCATAGTTTAAGAATTCCCAGCCAAAAGGAAGATTTTTGCCAGAGAAAAGAACAAAACACAATTGGGACTTAAGGTCCCATGAAAGTCCAAAACACAGCAGGCCAGTTGTTCAAACCTATGGCTCCAAAGTCATCCTTATTTAGTCCTTGTCCTGTTGCATTGAACTTAGCACAGAAAGTCAACACCAGAACAAAAGTATGCCAAATTGCAGGGTTTATTGCCGGCGACCACGGAGGACTCACGTCTCTCCAACCCGTGGCAGAGAAAGAAGAGTGACAAGATCTTTTTATACCCACAAAACCACCTTGGGAGTGGGGGTGAGGAGCAGAGATGGGAATGAAAGCTGTCAATCACCTCCTAGGCTGAGAGGAGGGTGAGGGGGCTCCAGATATTCCAAGGGCCAGGGGACTTTTGTCATTCCGATTGCCACTTAAGTGGTTTACAGAGGTCAAGATAAACATTAGTTTATACAATATTTGGCTAGGTGTGGGGTCCACATAATTTTGGGTTACTTGGTGCCAGGATGGAATTATCTGGGGGTGCTTACTTTGGTAAACAAAGGCCAGCAATTCTGGCAGTATAGATAAGAGAAAGTATGCAGCTTGTCCTCTCTTTGCATTTTGCAAGGTAATCTTAGAAGTTTACAGAAGCCATGGCTAGCAGTCATTGTGAGGAGAATGGGAACAGTTTTCCCATTTTAAAATGGCATTGTACTGGTTCTAATTCTAGGCCAGCTAGTCCCACATCACAGTCCCACATCCAGGGCACAGAGCTGTGAGGACAGGGATCTCAAGGCCTTGGGCAGATCCACACCTGTGACTTAGCAGCATTCAGCCCTGGCAGATGCTCTCATGGGCTGTGATGGTGTTGAGTGCTGGTAGTTTTTAACCTCCTGAGGGTACAAAGCTCTTGGTGAGTCTATGCATTTGGGGTCTGGAGAATGGTGGCCTCCAGTATGAGGGCTCCAACCCAATATTTTTCCTCTGCACTGCCACAGTAGAGGTTTCCCATGAGGCTCTGCCACTTCGGCAGCCTTCTGTCTGAACACCCAGGCATTTTCAAAATCGATATGAAGGCTTTCAAACTTCTGGACAGGAGCTCTGTGCACCCTCTGGCTTACCACTATGTGAAAGCCACCAAGGCTTATAGCTTGCACCCTCTCAAGCAGTGACTCAAGCTGTACCTGTGCATCTGTGAGCCAAGGCCAGAGCAGGAGCTGGAGCTGCAGGGATGCAGGCAGCAGTGTCCTGAGGCTTCACAGAGCAGCAGGCCATGGGACTGGCCCAAGAAACTATTCTCTCCTAGGCCCCAGGGCCCGTGACAGCAAGAGCTGCTAGAAACATCTCTGAAATGCCTTCAAGGCTTTTCCCCCATTGTCTTGGCTATTAGCACTGGGCTCCATTTAATGCAAATTTCTGAAGCCTTCATGAATTCTCCGCCTGAAATTCAGCTTTTCTTCTTGACCACTTGGCTAGGCTGCAAACTTTTCTAACTTTTGAGCTCTGCTTGTCATTTAAATACAAGTTCCAACCTAAGCTCATTTCCTCAGTCACACATAAGACCACAGGCTGTTTGACCCAGATGAGACACCTCTTGAGATTTACTGCCTATAAGTTCATTCCACCAGGCACATCCTAAATCATCACCCTCAAGTTTAAAGTGTCACAGATCTCCAGGGCAAGGTCACACTCCAAGCTTGTTCTTTGCCACAGCAAAACAGAAGTAACCTTGGCTCCTGTTCTTAGTGAGTTCCTCATTTTCATCTGGGACCTCCTAAGCCTGGCCTTCACTGTCCATCCCTCTGTCAGCCTTTTAATCACAACTATTTCCCTCAGATGAAGAGGGAAAGTTTGGAACATTGTACATACTTGTTCCTGTCTTCTTCCAAGCCCTCCCAACTCTCTAACCTCTGGCTTCTAGCCACTTCTGAACCCACTGCTACATTTTCAGCTACTTGTCACAGCCTGGCAATGTAGTGAAAGAGAAAAACTCAATTTTCAGGAGAAAACTTCAAGAAGCCTTCGATATTTGCATAAAAAAGAAGCCCAGTGCTAGTAGACAAGATGCTGGGGAAAAGTCACTGAAGGCATTTCACAGCTCCACTTTACAGAAGTAATTTTCTGTATGATCAGAATGACAGGGCTGTACTTGGATCACAGTTCTGCATGCTGTAAAGGAAGCATAGTGGCTTTTGCTTCTGGGAGGACTCAGGAAGCCTCCCAATCATACCAGAAAGACAAGCGGTAGTTAAATGTTTCATATGAAAGGAGCAGAAGCAAGACAGAGAGAGGAAAGAGGTGCCACACCCTGTAATACAAACAGATCTCATGAGAACTCACTATCATGAGGACAGCAACAAGAAAATGGGGCTTGAACATTGGTGAAGGATCCACCCCAAATTCCCCTCCTCCCACTACTGTTTACAGGCAGAATCTGCCGCAGAGGCAGAGCCTCTTGGAAAATCTGTACTAGGCCAGTACAGAAGGAAAATATGGGCTCAGAGCCCCCATGTAGGAGGCCACCATTCTCCAAGAGTCTCGCCTCTGCAACAGGCTACTCCCCCTTCCTACTACCCACCACCCTCCCATCACCCTACATCCAACCTACTTTTCCCCACCCTACCCACCCCTTTTCCCTTATACCCCCACCTTCTTCCAGTTTATAATTAAATCATCTCCCACCATGCCCCACCTCCAACATTTGGGATTACAATTCCACATGAGTTTTGGTAGGAAAACACAGCGAAACCATGTTATTCTCACTTTGACCCCTGGAATGTCATGTCCTCCTCACAGAGTAAAATACAATTATGCCTTTTCAAAGGTTTCCAAAACCCTTAACTCATTCCAGCATTAACTCAAATGTAAAAAGTTCAAAGTCTCATCCGAGACAAGGCTACAGTCTCCTGCGTATGAGTCCCTGAATTTAAAAGGGAGTTCTCTTTCAAGGTACAATGACGGTATAGTCATTGGGTAACCTTTCTCAATCCCAAGGAAAGAAATTTCCCAGGAAAATAACACAAATGGACCACAGGCCCAAAGCAAGTCCAAAATCCAGCAGGCCAGTATTCATTCAATCTCACAGCTCCAAAATCATGAAGAGAACTCATTATCACAAGGGCAGCATTAAGGAGATGGTGTTGAACTATTTGTGAAGGATCCACCCCCGACTCCTGCCCTTCACTCCCACCCCTCACTACAATTCCCTTAAATTCTCCCCATGACCCCCACCTTCCAACCTCCACTCTCCACCACAATTAAATCACCTTCCATCAGCCCCCACCTTTAACATTTCCCATTACAATTCCACATGAGTTTTGGTAGGGACACAAAACCAGAACATATTATTCTGCTCCTGGACCCCAAATCTCATGTCTTTCTCACATTGCAAAATACAATGATGCCTTCCCTACAGCCCCTCAAATCTTAATTGATTCCAGCATTTACTCAAACATCCAAAGACCAAAGTTTCATCTAACACAAGGCTATAGTCCCTTCTACCCATAAGCCTCTGAATTAAAAGGAAGTTAACTACTTTTAAAGTACAGTGATTACACAGGCAATGGGTACGCATTCTCCCTTAATAGAAAGAAACTTGCCAGAAAGAAGAACAAAACACAATGGGACTCACAGGATACATGAAAGTCCAAAACCCAGCAGGACAGTCATTAAATCCTACAGCTCCAGAATTATCCTTTTTGAATCCCCGTGCCACATCCATGGTGCTGGGGTGTGAGGGCTGGGCTCCCAAGGCCTTGGGCAGATCTGCACCTGTGGGTTTGCAGTGTTCAGCTCCTGTGGGTTCACTCATGCAGTGGGCTGGTGTTGAGTGCCTATAGCTTTTTCTCACTGAGAATGCAAGCTGTTGGTGGATCTATGAATCTGGGGTTTGGAGAAAGATGCTTCCATTTATGAGGGCTTCAACCCTATATGTCCCATTTTGCAGGCCTAGTAGAGGTTTCCCATGAGGCTCTGCCTCTTGGAAAAGCTTCTAGCTGGACACCCAGGTTTTTCTGTATATCCTCTGGAGTCTAGATGGAGGCTCCCAAAAGCCTCTAGTCTCTTGCTCTGTGCACCTGCTGGCTTAACGCTATGTGGAAGCCATCAAGGCTTGGAGCCACCTGTGAAGCAGTGACCCACGATTTACCTGGATGTCTTTCAGCCGTGGCTGGAGCTGGAGCTGGAGCTGTGGTGTTGCAGGCAGCAGTGTCCTGAGAATGCACTCAGCAGCAGGGCCATGGAGCTGGCCCAGGAAACCATTCTTCTCTCCTAGACCCCAGGGCCTGTGACTGCAAGGGCTGCTGCAAAGTCTCTTAAATGCCTTCAAGGCCTTTTCCCATTATCTTGGCTATTTGGAGTGGTGGGCTCCTTTTTATGCAAATAACCTACATTTTCTTGAAACTTTCTCAGGAAAATCAGTTTTTCTTTTTGACAACTTGACCAGGCTGCAAGTTTTCCAAACTTTTGAGCTTTGCTTCTCTTTTAAATAGAAGTTTTAACTTGAGGTCATTTTTTAGGTCATACATAAGAATACAGGCTGTTCCATGCAGACAGGACATCTCTAGAGCTATGCTTCTGCCTAGATGTTCATTCCAGCAGCTACATACTAAATCATCACTCCCAAGTTCATAGTTTCACAGATATCCAGGGCAGGGTCATGGTGCAGCCACGTTTTTTTGCTAAGGCCAATCAATTGTATCCTTGGCTCCTGTTCACAGGAAATTCCTCATTTTTATCTAAGACCTTTTAAGTCTGGCCCTCAGTGTCTGTCCTCTGTCAGCAAGTATTTAACAATTCTCTACAGGTGTCCAAACATTTCCTCATCTTGCCGTCTTTTAAGATTTCCCAACTCTCCCAGCCTCTTTTATCCACTTCTGAACCTGCTTCTACATTTTAAGCTTTGTTTTTTTTTTTTTGAAGACACACATTTAGTATTTTATTATGAATCAATTATTTCAAAGTCCCATACTGCATATTGAAATAAGGCAACACGGCACACCTTCAGGCTTCATTGCAAAGGATGAAAATGACTGTTCCTAACTCCCCTGCTAATTATCAGACACGCTTGAACACTTAATGAAAGGTGAAGTTTATTTCGTGGCCCCTCAGTTCTCTTTCAAATCCTCTAGTAGAAAATCTCCATAGTGTTATCTTCTGACTGGGTAGAACCCACAATTCTCTGCTGTTTTAAAGTATTGTCTTTGTTCCAGATGACTGATTACGTGACTTGGCTGCATTTGTGAGGGACCAACACCAACACACCTAGGCTACTGCACCATTCAGGGTCATGGGGTAGAAGGCACCAGGGTTCAAGAAGGAACTTGCCTACTGTAGGATCCGAGCTGGGGCGGCTCCTCTATTCCACCTATCCATCCATCTCCTCTTCTTCATCCTCAAAAGCTTCCTCCCCATGGTTGATGGTGGCATCCTAGTATTGCTGGTACTCGGACACCAGGTCGTTGATGTTGCACTCGGCCTCGGTGAACTCCATCTCATCCATGCCCTCGCCGGTGAACCAGTGCAGGAAGGCCCTGCACCGGAACATGGCTGAGAACTGCTCGGAGATGTGCTTGAACAGCTCCTGGATAGCCGTGCTGTTGCCGATGAACGTTGAGGCCATCTTCAGGCCGCGAGGCGGGATGTCACACATGGCCGCCTTCATGTTGTTGGGGATCCACTCCCCGAAGTAGCTTCTGTTCTTACTCTGGATGGCCAGCATCTGTTCGTCCACCTCCTTCATGGACATGGGGCCACGGAACACGGTGGCCACGGTCAGGTAGCGGCCACGGCGGGGGTCGTAGACGGCCATCATGTTCCTGGCGTCGAACATCTGCTGGGTGAGCTCGGGCACGGTCAGGGTCAGGTCGCGGCTGGCTGCCGCGGCTGGTAAGTGACGCAAAGCCGGGCATGAAGAAGTGCAGGCATGGGAAGGGCACCATGTTCACCGCCAGCTTGCACAGGTCGGCGTCGAGCTGGCCTGGGAAGCGCAGCGAGGTGGTGACCCCACTCATGGTGGCTGACACCACCCCGGGGTGGTTGAGGTCCCCGTAGGTGGGCGTGGTCAGCTTGAGGGTGCGGAAGCAATTGTTGTAGAGCGCCTCGTTGTCGATGCAGTGGGGTCTCATCGGTATTTTCCACCAGCTGGTGCACCGACAGCGTGGCATTGTAGGGCTCCACCACCGTGTCCGACACCTTGGGCGAGGGCATGACGCTGAAGGTGTTCATGACGCGGTCCGGGAACTCCTCGCGAATCTTGCTGATGAGCAGCGCTCCCATGCCCGAGCCCGTGCCGCCGCCCACCGAGTGTGTGAGCTGGAAGCCCTGCGGGCAGTCGCAGTGCTCGCACTCTTTCCGCACCACATCCAGCACTGCGTCTACCAGCTTCGCGCCCTCGGTGTAGTGCCCCTTCCCCCAGTTGTTCCCTGCGCCCGTCTGGCCAAAGATGAAGTTGTCAGGCCGGAAAAGCTGCCCGAAAGGCCCAGAGCGCACGCTCTCCAGGGGGCCTGGCTCTAAGTCCACCAGGGCGTCCCTGGGCACATATTTCTGAGACGATGACTCATTGTAGTAGACGTTGATTCTCTCCAGTTGCAGCGCTGAGTCTCCCACGTAGCCACCGGCCGGGTAGATGCCGTGCTCATCGCTGATCACTTCCCAAAACTTGGTGCCGATCTGGTTCCCGCACTGGCCCGCCTGGATGTACACGATCTCCCTCATCGCTAGCGCGGCTCTGCGCTAGGCACTGCCTCTATCTTTGTTAGAGGTAAAAGAAGAAAAGTTCATTTTCTGGGGGAACATTCATGAAGGCTTCAGATATTGGCATGAAAAGAAGCTGAGTGCTGGTTGCCAAGACAATGCGGAAAAGGACTAGAAGGCACTTCATAGCTCCACTTCACAGTACTAATTTTCTGCATGATCATAAGAGGTTGAATAGCCTCATGGTTCTGCAAGCTGTAAAAAATGCATAGCGGCTTCTGGGGGAGGAATCAGGAAGCCTCCCAGTCATACCGGAAGGTCAAGGGGCAAAGAGATGTTTCATATGGCAGGAGTAGGAGCACGACTGAGAGAGGAAAGAGGTGCCACACCCTGTTATACAAGCAGATCTCATGAGCACTCACTATCAGGAGGACAGCATCTCAAGAAGATGGTGCTTAACCATGGGTGACGGATCCGCCCGCACCCTCACTCTACCTCCCACAGTTTCCAGGCAGAAGCCTGCTGCAGAGGCAGAGCCTTATGGGAAACCTCTCCTAGGGCAGTACAGAAGGAAAATATGGGCTTGGAGCCCCCACACAGGAAGCCACCACCCTCCAGACCCCTGATTCATAGACCCACCAACAGCTTGCACCTCAATGTGAAAAAGCTACAGGCACTCAACACTAGCCCAGTCCATAGAGCGGCTGTGGGGGCTAAAACCTGCAAAACCACAGGTGCATTGTTCTAGTAGAGATTTTCCATGATGCTGTGCCTCTGCAGCGGGCTACTCCCCACTCCCACTACACCCCACCCTCCCACCACCCTACTTCCAACCTACTCCTCCCCACCACCCCCCATTTTCCTTCCACCCCCACATCCATGATTAAATCATTCCCACCAGGTCTCCCTCCACACCCTCCCAATTTCTGTTTGCTACCCACTTCTGAACTGCTTCTACTTTTTCAGCTATCTTTATAGCAGGTTGGCTATGTAGCAATAACACAGAACCCCATTTAAGGGGGGAAATTCAGGAAGACCTCAGAAATTTATATGCTGAAGCTTCTTTATTTGCCAGAGTTGGAGCTGGAGCTGTGGGGAGGCATCCTCAGGACACTGCTGCCTGCATCTCCACAGCTCCAGCTACAGCATATAAAGAAGCCCTGTGCTAATAGCCAAGACAAAAGAAAAAAGGCATTGAGGACTTTTCACAGCTCCACTCTGCAGTTCTAATTTCCCGTATTATTGTAAATATAAGAGGTTTCATTGACTCAGGGTTCTGCAGGCTGTGAAGGAAGCATAGTGTCTTCTGTTTTGGGGAGGAGTCAGGAAGCCTCCTCATTATTCCAGAGGGCCAAGGGACAATGAATTATCTCCTGTGGCAGAAGCAGGAGCAAGACAGAGTGAGGAAAGAGTTTTCACAGCCTTATAAACAAGCAGATCTCATGAGAACTCACTCACTCTCAGGATAGCATCAAGCGGATGGTGCTTTGTCGTTCATGAAGGATCTACCCGCACCCTTTCAGAACAAAATCTTTTTCCACCCAGGCCCCACTCCTAACATTAGAGAATATAATTCCACATGAGTTTTGGTAGGGACATAGAGACAAATGATATTTTTTCTCTCTCTGATCTCACGAATCTCATCTTTCTCACATTGCAAAAGACATTCATGCCTTGCCAGCGGCAGTCTCCCAAAGTCTAAACTCAGTCCAGCATTAACTCAAAGTTACAAAGTCCAAAGTCTCATCTGAGTCAAGGCTACAGTTTCTTTTGCCTATGAGCCTCTGAAATAAAAAGCAAGTTCACTGCTTCTAATGTGCAATGATGATACAGGCATTGCGTAATCTTTGCATATCCAAAAGGAAGACATTTTTCAGAATCTTTCTCATTTTTATCTGAGACCTCCTCAGCCTGGCCTTCACTGTTCATGTTTCTGTCAGCATTTTTTTTGGTCACAACCATTTAACCAGTCTCTAAGATGGTCCAAAAATGTTCTCATCTATCTGTCTTCTTTTCAGCCCTCCAAACTCTTCCAATCTCTGCCCATTCCCTAGTTCCATAGCTGCTTCCACACTTTTTCAGGTATCTTTATAGCAATGCTTCAATCCTCATTTGCCATGTTCTGTATGATTTATTTTGAAAAAGAGGTTTAATTGGCTCCTGGTTCTATAGGGTGAACAGGAAGCACAGTGGCTTCTGCTTCCGGGAGGCCTCAGAAATCTTTCAATCATCTTGGAAGGCAAAGAGTGAATTGTCTCACACAGTAAGAGAAAAACATGAAGAGTAGGGAGGTGACAGAGTTTTCAATGACAAGATCTCATGCCAAGTCACTCCTGATTGTGAGGACAGTAGCAAGGGGATGGTGCTAAACCATTCATGAGAAATTTGCCTTCATGATTCAATCACATCACACCAGGTTTCACCTTCAACATGAGGAAATGTAATTCAACATGAGATATGGTGGGGACATATATCCAAAGTGCATCATCAATCTTTGAGTATAAGGACATCCACAGCATTTTTTATCCAGCCAGCTTCTTTGAGACTCTTCATGGGGTTTGAGGTCTACAGCATATACACTAAAATATTCTTACTTCAAAAAGTAATAAAGTAAGAGGCATTATCATTCTTCCGGAAATTACAATGGTAATATAGGTGCTCATAGTATGACTTAGTTACTGTTTGCTACTTCCATCACCATATTAACTGTTTTCTACACAATTCTATACTCAGCTGGGTTTCCTTTGAACACAAAACCACCTTGTAGTACCATGGATAGCTGGCACTAGCTCTTTAATAGTGTGATTTCTTCTGCTGTAGAAAGTATCCTTGCACTGGAAAAAGTCCACAATCCAATACCTAGTCTTTCAACACATATCAATTCCTGGGTGACTTTTTGGAAAAAAAATAGTATCTCTTGTTGCAAGAAATGCTACGTCTGTGATTTCAAGTCTCTCAATAGAATTGGATTGAAGGGGTGAATTTCAGCCAATGTGGCCAAAGAAATCCTGTTTCTGTGATCCTTACGTCATCAGCCTCTGCACCTCTGTATTCCTTTCTGTCACATGTTATCTGCTCTCCATGACTTTGGTAAGAGCTTCCTGTGTTTGTGGATGATGTCCAGGATGTTGACCTGGTGTCCCTGAGAAGCACTAACAGGTCCATGACTGGGTCCAGGTCCTGCCTGTGCTGACTGGCAAATTTGCTCACTGATGGTGATGAAGTCATCTTTGGTGAAGCGGATGGGCTGATCCAGCTCTAGGGCCTGGCTGAGGCTGAAGAACTGGCCACCTTCTGATGCTCTTTTGTAAAGCCTTCACTCTCATCTGCTTGCATGTCAACTCATTGGCCGTGAAGTTGAGATGAGTGCCCTGTCATCCATCTTCTTGGTGAAACACTCAAAGTTGTCAATCTTGCTCTCCCACTCCTAAACTTTGAGGGCCACCCTGGGGGTGGGCTCAGGGTCAGAAAGAAGTTGGCACTCACCATCTCATCCTTCTCAGCCTTCCTCTTGCCCTGTTTCTAGGCTGTCTCTTCAGTGCTGCTGGGGCACATGAGGAAGTGATGGATAATGTGGCACTGTGCCCACACCCAGAAGCTGGCCATGTGATTCATCTACCAGACTGGGCCCTTTCTGCACTTGGACATGAAGTTCTCAAGATGGCCTGTGGTACTCAAGAAGCCCGCAGTGCTGTAAGAGCCCTGATGCATGGACTGGGGCCCCAAAGGCAGCACACACACCCTGCTCCCGAGCCTGCTGCTCATGCCCGTGATGTGGCTCCATTTACAGCACACTTGTTGCACTCAGGCCCGTGCACACCAGGCAAGGCCAAGCTGGCTCAAAGAGCAACCAACCACCTCTGCAAGGGTATGCCAGGAGCAGGACCAGCCACCAACTTCACTCTCTCTCAGTAAGGCTAAATCAGTTATTCTGCCGTAGAAGTAGGGCCCCAGTGCCATTTCTTTTCCCCGGGCCTCCGCTCCATCAGCCATCAGCTGGTGGCCACTCAAGCTGTGGGAACCTAGCCACCCCTGCTTCCTTGAGTGGGTGAGGTTGGTGGCTGGTGCACCTGCTCCAGGCACACCCTTACAGAGGTGGCTGGTTGCTCTTTGAGCCAGCTTGGCCTTGCCTGGCATGCACAGGCCCTAGGTAATGACACAGTACTCTGAGTGAGACTGTCCTGTCTTGGGCCGAATTCTAAGTCTGGCCAGGGTCACAGAAGGCTGAGTCCCCTGGACGGTAATCCTGGATGCTGCTGGGGGGCCCATGGTGCCCCTCCCCTTTGGGGGCTCAGAATGAGACCAGACTGGGTTAGGGCACTTTAGGTGTAACACTTGTGCCCCAGGAATGGTCCTCTGTCCCACAGGTTGGCTGAGATGTATTCTTGCTGCTGGCTGCCAGGGTTGTCAGGATACCATGTTCACCCTTCCCTCCAGAGACCTCAAAGTGACCAGCTTCTCCTTTGATAATGACTTCCAAAGGCCCAGGAGTCCCTGGGGCCGCAGGGCAGCTGGGTGCATGCTGCCCTGGCTTCTTCCATGTTGTGCTGGTCACTACCCACCAAGGTGACTGAGATGCAGGCACCATGCAGGGCAGTTGTCTCTGGACCTGAGACTTGGTTTTCAAGGAGCTGGACTGGGCCTGGTGTCAGAGCCCTGATGAGGTTGTCCTGGGTGGTCCGGGGGAGTCCTAAGGAGATGCAGAATGGAATTGCTGCAAGAAGGAATGAGATGACTGTCAGCACAGAACAGCCACTTGGTGAGTGCTCAGGGATTACCCTCAGTAGTTGCCCAGAAAACAAAACAGCCCAGCTGGTAATGACTGTCCCCAAGCTAGGAGGAAGGGAAAAGAGCGGGTCCCACTCACCTGAGCCCAATCAGTCAGCTGTGCTGAGATGTGCCTCTCACCAAGAAAACAGCCCTGCATGTAGACACTGACTGTGTGCCTCTAAATGCTCCACAACACAAAGCGATGGGGACTCAGTGACGGTGATATCATGGAGTGACTCAACCCATCACAACGGGAGCCTGCTTGGGTCAATAGGGCCCACAGTCAGTGTCCTCTGTCCCCTCAACTGATATGTGTGTGCATGCAATGTGTTTGTGCATGTGTGTGTGTCTGTGTATGCACCTATGTGTGTTCGTGTTGCTTCTCTGACCAGGCCTAGCTTCTCCACTCATTGGTGCACCCAGGTCCTGATTGTTGTCACCACCGGGGCCCAGGGCCAGCATTAGAGCCTCCACAGGTGCTCCCCAATCTCTGCCCTCCCCACCCAGGGTGGTCCTGGGGATGCAGACAGAGGAGGGTCACCGGGCAGAGCAGAGAGGGCTGGCACCCACTCTAGGTGGAACCCAGGTCATGTGTAACATTCTAGGTCTGCCAAACAGGCTGGATTCAACACATCTCCTCACACTCTCTTTCCAGCAACCCTCCAGAGTGCCCTGACTCATCCTCCCTACAGATGGAAGCAAGGAGGCTCCACAGACAAACCCCTTGCCTGAGGGCACACAATGACCAACTGACCAGGTTCCTACTGACCAGGTGCCTCTGATCAGGTCCCCACTGACTCGGCTTCCAATGACTAGGTTGCCAGGTCACCACTGATGAGGCCTTCACTGAGAAGGCCACCACTAACCAGGTCCCTGCTGATCAGGTACCAGCCGACTAGGTTCTGATGACCAGGTCATCTCTGACCACGGTCCACTGACCAGGCCCCTGAGCAGCAGTGCTCAAAGTCTCATTCCAATGTCCCCCTCAGCCCACAGACCCTCCCTTCCTGCATGTGTGCCCAGAGGTCAGAGCCTGGGGGTTTTCTCGAGATAAGGCCTCTCCTCCAAGATGAACAAGTTTTGTTTTGTTTGGTTTTTGACTTTTTAACAAAAGTCATTCTGACTGGTGTGAGATGGTGTCTCATTGATGTTTTGTTTGGCATTTCTCAAATGATTAGCAATGGCAAGCATTTGCTAATATGTTTGTTGGCCACTTACATGTGTTCTTTTGAGAAGTGTCTGTTCATGTCATTTGCCCATTTTTAGTGAAGTTATTTATTTTGTGCTTGTTGATTTGTTTAGATTGCTTATGGATTCTGGATAATAGGCCTTTTCTGTATGCGTAGTTTATGACTGTTTCTTTCTGTTCCTTAGGCTGTCTGTTTAATCCCTTGACAGTTTCTCATGCTGTGCAGAAGCTCTTCAGCTTAATTAGATCACACTTGTCAATTTTTGTTATCCTTGCAATTGTGTTTGAGGACTTAGCCATAAATTAATTCACAAGTGCGATGTCCAGAATAGTATTTCCTAGGTTTTATTCTAGAATTTTTGTAGTCACTGGATATACTGTTATGCAAGAAAAGCACAAAGCTTTTTTTTTTTTTTTTTTTTTAAGATGGAGTCTCCCTTTGCACTACAGGTTGTAGTGCAGTGGTGTGATCTTGGTGGCTCACTGCAACCTCTGTCTCCTAGGGTTCAAGTGATTCTCCTGCCTCAGCCTCCCAAGTAGCTGGCATTACACATGCCTGCCACCATGCCCAGCTAATTTTTATATTTTCATTAATCAATGAGAGCTTGTTATGTTGTTGAGATTGGCCTTGAATTAATAGCCTTGCCTACTTAAGTGCCAGGAAAACTGGCCAGAGCCACCACGGCTCCCTGATTTTTATATTTTCAGTAGAGATGAGGTTTCATCATGTTGGCCAGGCTGGTCTCAAACTCCTGACCTTAGGTGATCTGCCCATCTTGGCCTCACAAAATGCTGGGATTATAGGCGTGAACCCCTGTTCCTGGACAAGCATAAAGCTTTTAACATAAAAATGGGAATGAACCTTTTAGAGTTTTATTTAATTTATAAAATGCACTTATTTTGGATTCTATTAAATAATAAACATTTATGTGTTAAGTGTTTCAATGCCAATCATTCACGTGTGATTATGGGTGGAAAGAGTTGAGATGGTGCAATGAAACTTTAAAAGTGGTATGAGCTGGGTGCAGTGGCTCCCACCTGTAATCCCAGCACTTTGGGAGGCCAAGGCTGGCAGATCACAAGGTCAGGAGTTCAAGACCAGCCTGGCTGATATGGTAAAATTCTGTCTCTAGTAAAAATACAAAAATTAACTAGGCATGGTGGCAGGCACCTGTAGTCTCAGCTACTCAGGAGGCTAAGGCAGGAGAATCACTTGAACTCAGGAGGCAGAGGTTGCAGAGAGCTGAGATTGCACCCTTGCACTCCAGCCTGGGGACAGAGCGAGGTTCTGTCTCAGAAAAGAAAAAAAAAAGCGGTATAAACCACAGCCAAACTGCAATCAACTAGAGAGTAAGCCAAAGCATCTCAAAGTATACCTTCAGTTATTAGGCAATAACATGCAATTTCTAAAACCTAACTTAAATGCAGCTTTTAAAGAAATTTTAAATGAGTCAGGTCAGTCACATTTATTGAATAAAGTTAATAAACGGGCATCTCTTGAGAATGACAGCTCCAGGGAATTAAAACATGTAAAGTTCCCATTTTCTTTCTGTGTTAACATGGCTAATTCACATGCATAAGTCAACAGAAAAACTCAATATTTCAGCACACTAAAAATAAGAATTATATTAAAGAAATGAAACCCGAAAAAGAAAAGGTAATATAACTAACCTCAGTCAAGTCGTTCTTGCAGTTATTTGAAGTCTGTGGGTCTGAAGTAGGAATTCTTTTTTTTTTTTTTTTGAGACGGAGTTTCGCTCTTGTTACCCAGGCTGGAGTGCAATGGCGCGATCTCGGCTCACTGCAACCTCTGCCTCCTGGGTTCAGGCAATTCTCCTGCCTCAGCCTCCCGAGTAGCTGGGATTATAGGAACGCGCCACTGTGCCCAGCTAATTTTTTGTATTTTAAGTCGAGACAGGGTTTCACTATGTTGGCCAGGATGGTCTCAATCTCTTGACCTCGTGATCCACCTGCCTTGGCCCCCCCAAAGTGCTGGGATTACAGGCGTGAGCCACCGCACCCGGCCCTGAAGTCGGAATTCTTACGGGTGTTTCAGGAATATATTTTCTGTTGCATCCTATGCTATTAAGATTTTCAACATAAGGTGACTCTGGGTCTGGTCTCGTAGGAAGAGTTCTGAGACAAGATTTCATCCTCTCTTTCTCCATAAAGAGCTTGGTGCTGAACACTGCCATTTTCTTCTTCGATCTGGAAAGAAAGCAAAGACAAATCCTCAGTATTTCCTTTTCTCTTTAATAATTTGGAATGACTTGCATTTCTTTTTAAAGTTGCCCTGAGAGTAAACCAAATTACCTACTAAATAGTGTTTTAACACCGAAGATGTGTGAGAGCATACCTGCTGTAAACAATTATAATTTAATAATTGTTCTAAAGGAGTACATGTGTTTCTAAGGTGATTTCTGCTGAACAAGCAGTGCAAACAAAGTAGACAGCGAAGAGAAATAAATGGCTGTCAGTGATGTTCGGCTCAACAGGTAACAGTTGCTGCCTTCTAAAATGGCTCTCCTTGCAAGATGCTAAAGATTCCATTAGAAATACTTGTATTTAAAGGGGAACTATCTGGGAAAGTGGATATGTTAATTTGCTTAACTATAAGAATCACTTCACTATAAATAATTATATCAAAACATTACGCTCTACTCCTTAAATAATGTGGATTAAGAAAACTAACATGAACAAACAAAAAAGCTAGAAATACTTGTGCTTAGTAAAACAGTTTTAGGTTTCACTCTTGTACATTTCACCCATTATCTAGGAACAATTAAGCATTTGGCACTGAGGAATATTTCACAGCAACAACTCCTAGGGGAGAACCAGATGGCTGGATCGGTGATCAAAAAGAACTAAAGCATTTCTGAAGTCAATTAGCCCCTAACACTGTGACAAAGGTCCTGTACCTGGGGGCTTGTTCTTTCTGCCTTCCACACACACCTTCAGGCTGAACAAGGTGTTATTTTTCAACCACTTTGTGAATTACACTTCTTTTCATTCCTATAATAATTATTCCCTATTTAACAAGAATGCTTTTCTGTAACATCCTGAAAATGTTACACAAATAGTCTGTCTTGAGGCACCCTCTAGTAATAATACTAGAGATCACAATCAAAAACAGTCCAGTGCCTCAGTGCCACTTTGGGTTTAGGTTGCCATCTACCAAAAAATAAGTTACGCTCATTAATATTTCTATTTAGGAAAATTCTGACAAGTAATTTATAACAAAATCACTTTATTAATTACAAAGCTTCAAAAATACTTAGTGAAAAAAACTAATAGATCAGGTTAACTACATGAGATGTTTCAGGGGAAAAAAGACATACAAAAACCAAAAAAGAAAGGAAAGAAAGAAACTATCCTTGACTAACATTTTAAAGGTAAGATTATTTACTAACATTATTTTCTGAAATTACATTGTGCAATTAGCATTCATTTTCTACTAATCTCCTGAAGTCACCTCACTAAAAATTATGCTTTCAAAACAACGAGCTTAATTCATCTTCTGTGAGTGTATGTTTTGACTTACTTCATGTATTTCTTTGACATGGAATCGTTAGCTTTTAATGCTATTGCAAAGGCTTCCTTATATTCTTCGAATTCAGTTGTAACCTCTTCATAAGCAGTTTTTATTTTGGAGAGTTTACATTCCACATCTTTAGTCTTGAGTTCCATCTCATTTTGTGAAGCTGTATTCTCTTTTTTTAGCTGCTCTAATTGTTTTTCATAATCTGCTTGTTTCTAAAACAAATGAAAAGAATACATTTTTAAAACAAGTATAACATAATTGCCATACATTTGTTGCTTTTTGAGTCAGTGATTCAAAGAGCAATTTTGAAGATGTTAAAAATGAGGCTGAAGCTTAAAATATTTATCAGCAATATCAACAAAACTAATAACTGAATCCAGATAAGTATAATTTTTAAAAATTTGAAATCCTTATTAGGTTAGTATTAATGTAATCTGGTCACATTGAAAGTAATAGAATCCATTTATAATTTTGAAAATTGAGCAATGAACAATGTAGCTTAAGAACAATTCAAAAGTACCACATAATTTCTAAATCACGATTTTCACTTATGCCAACTGGTCTTAATAATCAGTTCACTCTAGTGAGAATCGTTATTCTGAAAGATTAATTTTGTTATAATAATAAAAAATTTTAAATATTTAAAAGAAAAAACAGATGCCATTTTTTTTTTCTCAGAACTCTACAAAGCAAATTGCTATAAGAGAGGCAGAGGAAACATAATATATACATTTCCAAAATATAATTTGCAGTGAAATAAATGAAAGCACATTACGGATAAACTTCCCTGATTTTAAAAACTAACCTGTAAATGGATTTCTTCTAATTTTTCTATTGCCTGCATTGCCCTTTCTTCCAGCTCCAATTTATATTCTTGTACTTTACCAACTTCTATCATATTTTTTTCCATATGTGTCTTAAGATTTAATATTCCTTCTTCCAACATCTTTTTATCCTCCTCAAGTTTTTCACATTTCTCTTGTACTTTTTTCATAGATAATAACTCCTGTTGAATAACTTGATTTTCTTTATCCAAATTGATACATTTTGAAGATACAGCTTCCTTCTCTGCTATAAGATCATCAAGCTGCATGAATAAAATAATATAGCTTAATAATGAAGTAGGCTGAGAATAATCTAATACAAAACCAATAGCAAATGTTAAAATACATTTACTTGCAATAAAATGTTACCTATAATGTAGTAGATTTTTCAAATGTGAACCCTTAAATTCTCCAAATTTCAAGAACAAAGTTAAAGCAACTATGAGTCACAAAAATATACTCTTTACTATCATCATCTGTACGACAGAACTTTTGCAATTGAACTTACTTTTATTTTTCTGACAATTTATTTTTGTTCCTCCTTAAATGGCACTAAGTTATCTCTTAGTAAAGAGTGTCGCCCGGGCACAGTAGCTCAGCCTATAATCCCAGCATTTTGGGAGGCCGAGGTGGGTGGATTGCCTGAGCTCTGGAGTTCGAGACCAGCCTGGCCAACATGGCAAAACCCTGTTTCTACTAAAAAATACAAAAAAATTAACCAGGCATGCCCATGTGTGCCTGTAGTCCCAGCTCCTCAGGAGGCTGAGGCAGGAGAATTGCTTCAATACAGGAGGCGAAGGTTGCAGTGAGCCGAGATTGCGTTACTGCACTCTACATGAGCAACAGAGCAAGATTCTGTCTCCAAAAAATAAAATAAAATAAAATAAAAAGCTGGGCATGGTGGCTTGCACCTGTAATCACAGCACATTGAAAGGCCAAAGTGGCAGGATCACCTGAGGTCAGGAGTTCCAGACCGGCCAGACCCATATGGTGAAACCTCGCCTCTGCTAAAAAAAAAAGTGTCTAACTCCTCTCCCTCATCATTATTCCTCATGATTTGTCAAAAAAAGTTTCAGAGCTATCATACTGAGTTATTTAAGCCAACATCAATAAATGGCTCTCAGAATAAGACTTTGAAAATAATATAATACTCTTTATTAGGCATGGTGGCTCGTGCCTATAATCCCAGCCCTTTAGGAGGCTGTGGCAGAAAGATCACTTCAGGTCAAAAATTTGAGATCAGCCAGAACAACATAGTGAGACCGCCATCTCTCCAAAAAAGTTAAAAAAAAAAAAAAATAGCCAGGCATGGTGGCTCATGCCTGTAGACCCGGCTTTTTAAGTAAGAGACTGAGGCGAAAGCATGACTTGTACCCAAAGTTTAGGTCTTCATTGAGTTATGACCACATCAGCACACTTCCACCTGGAAGACACACAAAGACCATAACTCAAATAAACAAACAAACAAAAACAAAAAACCACACACACACACACACACACACACAAAATAATAATGAATCCTGTAAATAAGGATTCTGATGCCATAAGCCTTTCCTTAAACTGCAAATGTTTCATGCCAATTTGAATTGCATTTTAAGAAGTAATAATTCTTGGGGTAAAGGCCATAGAATAAAACACCCGGAAATAAATCCACATATTTACAGCCAACTGATTTTGGACTAAGGTGCCAAAAACATACATTAGGGAAAGGACACACTCTTCAAATGAATGGCACTGGGAAAACTAAATTATAACTTCTTATTGTTTAGGAAATTTTTTTTTTTTTTTGAGATGGAATTTCGCTCTTGTTACCCAGGCTGGAGTGCAATGGCGCCATCTCGGCTCACTGCAACATCCGCCTCCTGGGTTCAGGCAATTCTCCTGCCTCAGCCTCCTGAGTAGCTGGGATTACAGGCACGCACTACTGTGCCCAGCTAATTTTTTGTATTTTTAGTAGAGACGGGGTTTCACCATGTTGACCAGGATGGTCTCGACCTCTTGACCTCGTGATCCACCTGCCTCGGCCTCCCAAAGTGCTGGGATTACAGGCTTGAGCCACCGCTCCCGGCCTCTGCTCAGGAAAATTTTACCTGACAAGAAACCCAAGCAGCACTCAGAGCATTGGAGGAACACAATTTATTATGCCGGTGAGCCCAGAAGGGTTCACACCCAAAAGTCTGGACCCCGGCTAAGACTACACGGTTTCTATAGGTGAAGGCGCAAGGGAAGTAACTCAGAACTTAAGACAATGCAGCAGGGTTTAGACAACATGGCAGTTTTCTTAAGGCTTTTCAGTTAGTAAGCAATAAATTGAGGCACAGAAGCAGAAAGAAGCAGTTACTAACAAAAATAGGGTCAGTTTTAAAAATAGGGATGGTTGCTGGCAACATGCTGACAAAATCCTGGGCAAAATTTCTACTTCACTATCTAACACCATGTAACATAATAAACTCAGAATCAATTAACGACTTAAATGGCCCAAATCATCAAACTACTACAAGTAAACACAGGGAAAATGATTCAGGACATTAGTCTGAACAAAGATTTTTATGGGTAAGACATCAGCAGCATAGGCAAAAAAACAAATGATAGACAAGTGGTACTACATTGAGCGAAAGAGCTTCTGCTCAGAAAACAACTGAGAGAAGAGAAAACTTGTAGAATGGGAGAAAATATTGTCAAGCTGGTCATCTAATAAGAAACTAATAATCAAAATATACAAGAAACTCAAACACCCTGACAGGAAAAAAATAATCTGAGTTCAAAATCAGGCAAAAGATCTGATTAGACATTTCCGGTTTTTTTTTAAGCAGAAATACAAATGGCCAATAAATACATTTAAAGATGCTCGGTATTACTAACCATCCAGGAACTAGAAATCAAACCTGCAATAATCTTGCTCCAGGTCAAATAAATGGCTCTCATTGAAAAGACAAAAAATAACAAATGCTGTTGGTGGGAAGGTAAATTAGTACAGCCGCTAGAGAAAACAACATGAGGTTTTCTCAAAAAACTAATACTGGAACTGCCGAGGGATCCAGCAACCCCACTACTGGGTATTCAGGCAACAGAAAACAAAAAGTCAAAAGGATACCCATACTCTCATGTTTATTGTAGCACTAGTCACAACGGCTAATGTATGGAATCAACCTACATGTCCATCACCAAACTGATGGGAAAACATTGTGGTATACATACATTCAGCATATACAGAAATAAAATCTGTTATTTGTGGCCAATAGACATCAACAAACTAAGAATTGATAATCTAAAAATAAAGCTGCATGTTTACAGTCAATTGATTTTATACAAGGTTAACAAAAGAACAAAATGGGAAAAGAATAGTCTTTTCAACAAATGGTGCTGGGATGACTGGGCATCCATAGGCAAAATAAATAAATAAATAAAGTTGGACTCTCACCAAATAACCACATTTAAAAATTAACCCAAAATAAAACAGTTCACCATAACTGCTAAAACTACAAGACCCTCAAAAGAAAACATTGGCATAAATCTTTGTGACTGCATTTGGCAGTGATTTCTTAGCTATGACTTCAAAGGAAAAATGAATTAAATGGACTTCAAAATTGAAAACTTCTGTGCCTGAGAAGACAGTATCAAGAAGTGAAAAGGCATGCCACTGAGTAGAAGAAAATACTCAAAAAGCCTGTATCTGATAAAGGACTTATAGCTGTGATATATAAAGAACGCTTGCAATTTATAAATAATGAGATAACCCAATCTTTAAAATGGGCAAAGATTTTGAATAGATATCACAGAAGATATAAAGATGGATATAAGCACGTTAATAGACGCTTAATGCAATTAGTCATTAGGAGAGTTTGAATCAAAACCACCATGTGGTATCACTTCATACCACAGAATGAAATATTTCTTCAACAATAAAGAGAAAATAAGTGTTAGCAAAAATGTAAAGAAATTAAAATGCTTATACAATGCTGGCAGCAATGTGAAGTGGTGCAGCCTCTTTGGAAAACAAACTGGCAGCTCCTCAAAAGGTTAAGCATGAAGTTACCATGTGACCCAGAAATTCCAGTCCTAAGTATATACTCAAGAAAAATACTAAGTATATACACAAGCACAAAAACTTATACATAAATGTTTACAGCAGAACTATTAAGAGTCAAAAAGTGGAAAGAACCCAAAGGTTCATCGAATGATGAATGGATAAATAAGATGTCTGATGTATCCATACAATGGAATATTACTCAGCAATAAGAAGAAATTAAGTACTGATACTGATAGAAGCAGGAGACAGCAAAATGGCTAGGCAGGTATGGAAGGGTCCCCGGAGACTCTCCTACCAGCCCTGCAAGCATTTACACCAGATGTTCTGTGCAGATAAGGGAACCTGCACAGGGTCTTGCCTGGACACGCCCACAGTGGGCTGGAGGCCCACATGCACTGGGGGAATGGGGTAGAGCCACCAGGAATTAACACCTTATGCAGGGAAGGAGCCTGGCCTCTTCAGCTCATGTGTGGGGGCCCTGGTATTCAATTGTGAGGTGGAAACCTGTTTGCAAGACTCCTCTCTTTGCTGCGAGCCTTTTACTTAATAAATTCTGTCCTCTCCACCCTTCAATGTGTTTGTGTGCCCAATTTTTCCTGATCATGAGAGAAGAACCCAGATTTAGCTGAACTAAGGAGCAAAAGCTCGATACTTGCTACAACACAGATGCAGCATGAAAAATTAGGCTAAGTGAAATATGCCAGTCACAGTAGACCACTTGCTTTTTATTTCAGAGGCTTATAGGCAAATCTAAACAAAGAAGGCAGGTGGTTCCCTAGGGCTGGGGGAGGAAGGGGAATCTAGCGAAGATGGCTGAATGATGTGGGGTTTCTTCTTAGGGTGACAAAAATGTTCTAAAATTGACTGTAATGATGATTGCATAACTCTCTGCAAATGCTAAAAGCCAATGAATTGTATATGTTAAATAAGTGAATTGCATGGTGTGTTTATTATTTCTCAATAAATCTGTTAGCTCCCAAAATTTATTTGGTACTAGTGATCTGGAGACATGTACTGCTTGGTTTCAGATCACTGGCCAGGGTTCAAGACTAAGAAAATCAACAGCATGTCCTTTTTATAGAAAAAATACGATATACATTTTAAAAACTCTCCTTTTCATTAGTATCAAGTTGGGAAAATTAAAGAAAAAAAAATCTTTCTTTCACTGCTTAAAGCACTGAGAGATTTATGTTGAGGAATAAGACGTTGTTTTCTTTTGCCCCAATTTCTATATAAAGGGTCTGGAGAATCACACCCTTCAAACTATAAAATCTTATCAGATGGGTATTATTATTATTTTTATTAGCATTCTTTTCTTTTAGAAGTTCACACCTATAATTTCATAACAATTGTGAAAATGATACTCAGAACTAGATGTTTTGATAAGACGTAGCAGAAATCTGTGGTTAAAGATGGTCACTGCAAACTTAAATCAGCATTCAATTCTGCCTTTTGTTTTTGTACAGAATTAATATAATTCTGATTCAGACAGATAACTTACTATCTTAACCTCTGCTCATAATCTTTACCATAAATGTAGGTCAGCACATACCTAAAAATTATTAATGATCCAACACGGTCACATGTGACATGGCACACTTAAACTTGGTACCAAACAAGGTGACAGTTCAATGAGATCTGATCAGCATATGCACCTGAACCTTGTCTGTCCCCTCAGAGCACTGTACACAGTAGTTAAAGAACTTTTGTACAATAAGAAATTCACAGGGATGAGGCCAGGCACGGTGGCTCACACCTATAATCCCAGCACTTTTGGAGGCAGAGGCAGGTGGATCACTTGAGGTCAGGAATTCGAGACCAGCCTGGCCAACATGGTGAAACCCCGTCTTGGCCAGACCAGCCTGGCCAACATGGTGAAACTACCGAAAATACAAAATTAGCTGAGTGTGGTGGCACACACCTGTAGTCCCAGCTACTCAGGAGACTAGGGCAGGAGAATCACTTAAACCCGGGAGGTGGAGGGTGCAGTGGGTCAAGATTGCGTCACTGCATTCCAGCCTGGGCGACAGAGCAAGACTCAGTCTCCACGACAGCAAACAAGATATTCACAGGGATGAATTTCAATAGGTAAACAGCAGTGTAGAACTACATCCTTCCTAGTCAATGACACGTTTAGATCTTAAATAGGCACAGAAATAACAAAGGGCTTATACTGACAACTGCACAAAAATGAGTAACTTGGCAGCACAAGGTAGGGATTTTATGTGTCACAAGAGTATAGACTGTTCTACTTTTATGCTCTGCTCATTGCTATATCCTTTCGTGATTCCCTGAGATTCAGGTGAAATGCCCATCTAATACTGCCTGGAGAAGGGCCTCCTCCTCCTCAGCTGCTTCATAATCCTTTATTAGTACCAGTAACTGCAGTAAACTAGGAGCTGGGCCATCCTCTGGCAGATTAAGTTCTGCGAACTGTTCTGTGGACTGCCCCAGCAATGACTTGGTCTAGGCAGGCCTGATTCACAGCATCTCTCTCAATTGCTCCTTTCTGTACCAGCTGCTGCAACAAAGGCTCCAGCCTTAGTACGTAATCCAACAACTTTTATTCCTCCTTCTGGTAAGTGGTTAGAAATTTGTCATGCAACTCTCTAGGACTATCTGTAACCCCAAATACCAGCTCAAGAGCCTGCAGGCATTCATCGACAGTAATTAAAGGATTGTTTACCTTGAGAACACAAATAACATCAAGTGCTGGGCCTCTAAGGCTCTCTAGCACTCACCTTCTCTTCTCTGCATCTGACACCTCCCACATGTTTAACATCTGAGTAGTATGAAACAGCCAGGGTTCAAATGCTTCTTCTTCTGGTTCTGGAGAATCACTGCCTGAGAACACACTCAGCTTTTTATAGTGGAAGTACTGAAGGGCAGGCTCAAGAGTCTCATTTAATGCCTGTGCCAACATAGGGGCCCACATTTCTGGGATCATGCCCTGCCCTAGGTCTAAGAAGCCATTTTCATATCTAAGAGCTCTGGTCAACTCACCCATTGTCATGCCCTCTCCCTCTAAAAATTCATTTAATCTGCTTAGAAAATCATTATCTGGGTCACAGGTCTTAAAGATCACTCTGCAGATACCCTTTTTTCCCCGTATCTCCTTAGGGACCAATGCACGACTAGTCTCTGCAGCAAGCCCTACCAGGACTACTTTGCAGTTCTCATCCCTCCTGAACATCCTTCCAAGCAGTCTGTACTCCCCTAGGGGAGCTACATCAGCCTGCAGAGCCTCCTCGATTTCTGCCATACTGCAGCTCTTGGGAAGGCCGGCAATTAACAGCGCTTTCCGAAGGCTCATGTCCATCCCCCTGCACCAGTCTTCTAAAAGCCTCAGTGTCATGGTGCCTGAAATAATAGACTTAAGTTCTAAACATTCCAGACCACAGGAAGCCACCGCAATTCAAAGTAATCCTCCGCGGTACCCCAGAGAAATCTCGTCAACGTGGTGAGGTCCAGCAGCCGATCTAGTGCTCCGTGCTCGCGTCTGTGCGCCCGCGGGCAAGGTGCCTGGCCAGGCCCAGAGAAGGCGCGGGAGGGCGGGCTCTTCTCGGCTCGGACGGACAGTCGGGGGCCAAAGCGATTGATGCCGGTCCTCCAAGTGCCTGCGATGCTCTCTGCAGCAAGGAGTGATGGAGCGATGACAGTCGCGAGCGGGCACCAGAGGGCAAAGCTGAGGAGCGCTGAGTCGCCAGGCCCAGACAACCGCCCACCTGAAGGGACGCGCTGCCACCTGCAACGCCAGAGCCGGGAATCCAGCCCCAATTCCGCCGATTTGTTCTCACCCAGAGAAGCTGCGCGGTGGGCAGGGCCAGATGGGTATTATTAACTCTTCTAATGTGACTTACTTTCTAACCTGATTCTGGTACAGCATCACAGATAGCAGAAGCTGAAGGAAATCAAAATATTTTACCCCCAAATGGCTGCTACAGGGCCAAGAGGTAAAAATGGCCCTGTGAAGCAGTCTTCTGTGAGGGAAATTGCATCTATAAGAAGTCTTCATTAATGTAGCTAGATCTCTCCCCTTCTAGATCATTCCAGATCTAGGGAAGATTAACTAAGATTCTGATGTATTTAAACATCTGAAAAGATATTTTTACCCTCTATTTTCTCTGAGGGCTGCAAGCTATGAGGCTTCATCTGCATAATAAGAACCTTGGCCTCCATAATCACCTTATCTTAAGGCATTCCTTTCTACTAGTTTCAAGTTTTAGACAACAGCTTAACTTTCTTTACCAATTGTCACCTAAAGAATCCCTAAAATCCCTTAACCTCTCTTTTTTGATAGTCCACTTTCAGGCTAAACCAACATGTGCCTTTCCTCATATTGATTTATGATTTTCCCTACAATTTCTGTCCACTGGAAATACATAAAACCAAACTGTAATGTGACTGTCTCACAGAACATTCTCAGGATCTCTTGAGATTGTGTAACCCAGGGCCACAGTCACCACATTGGCTCAGAATAAACCTTAAACATATTTGGGCAGAATTCGGGTTTTTCCATCATTAATATTTCCCCAAATTATATGAGTTTTAATTCTAAAACTAATTTAAAATGATGTTGTGTTGGAACATAAATTATTCTATATAAAGATATATGCATTTGTATGTTCATTGCAGCACTATTCACAATAGCAAAGACATGGAATCAATCCAGATGCCCATCAGTGATAAGATGGGATAAAGAAAATCTGGCATATATACACCATAGAATACTATGGAGCCATGAAAATGAATGAGATCATGTTCTTTGCAGAGACATGGATGAACCTGAAGCTGTTATCCTCAGCAAACTAATCCAAAAACAAAAACTAAACCCTGAATGTTCTCACCTATAAGTGGGAGCTGAACGATGAGAACACATGGACTTGGGAAGGGAACAACAAACACTGGGGCCTGTTGGGGTCAGGAGGGAGAGCATCAAGATCAATAGCAAATGCATGTGGGGCTTAGTATCTAGGTGATGGATTGATAGGTGCCGCAAACCATCATGGTAGACATTTACCTGTGTAACAAACCTGCACATCTCGCACATGTAATCCAGACCTTAAAATAAAATAAAATTTGTTTAAGCATTACCTTCTGTTTTATCTTCTTAATCAGAATATCCATTTTCAGTTGATCTGTTTCTAAGTCTCCATGGAAACGGAAGTCTTCATTTCCAAATACATTTAACATACTTATTGTCATTTTTAGGAGTTTCTTATATCTGCAGAAATGCACAGAATTAGGAAGTCAAGTATTTTTAAGAGTAAATATTTAATAATTGGTTAAACAGATTTGTTATGGTGTATCAAAGAAACAAATCTATAAACTAGGATCCTCTCAGTTTCAACTGAACATAGTTTGAAAGCATTCTATATGAAACTATAATCTCAGATAAATAATATGAAGAACAATTTCTTTTTTGAGATGGAATTTTGCTCTTGTTGCCCGGGCTGAAGTGCAATGGCGTGATCTTGGCTCACTGCAAACTCTGCCTCCCAGGTTCAAGTGATTCTCCTGCCTCAGTCTTCCGAATTGCTGGAATTACAGGCATGCCCCACCACAACAGGCTAATTTTGTATTTTTGGTAGAGACGGGGTTTCACCATGTTGGTCAGGCTGATTTTGAACTCCAGACCTCAAATGATCCATCCACCTTGGCCTCCCAAAGTACTGGGATTACAGGTGTGAGCCACCATGCCAGGCCTAACCATACAGTTTTTATAAATGAACTATTCAGATCCATGTTGGTATGCTAGCATAAAATAACCTACTACCAAGTATAGGCCATAACCCAGAGATGAGTAACCAAGATAAAAAAGTAAAACATATACATGTTTGAAAAGACACAAAAGCCACAGTCTATAAGAAAAGTACACACAAAAAGCATCAATGAGATCATTCAATGCAGAAAAAGAGAAGTAAGCAAATATCTTCAGTATCTGTGTTGAGGAGAAAAAGGAAACAGGCAGTTTTAGAAAAAAGGAAAGGAGCAGAGAGATATGTGAGGATTTAAAGACTCTGAAGAGAGCTAGAGATCTTTGCTGACATAATGTCAGCAAAATGAAAGAGATACAAAACCATGTAGAGAAAGGCAATGACAGAAAAATGTTGATTAGAATCAGAAAACCAACTTAAGTACTCAGTAAATAGAAAAGTAACTGTTCAGGGCTTCAAAGACACATTCCATTTTTTTTAAAAAAAAATCTGTGATCAAACAGAAATGCTCATTTTACTCTTTTTCTTTAAGTTATATGTATAAACGTATAATTTATTTCTGTAAAACAGAAGTTTAATAACATGTGCACTTCATGTATACAAAGGAGGTACCCATGTAAAATGGGTAAACTTCCGGATACATTTTATATATAAAAGGAAGAAAAACAGAAACAAAATACAAGCTACATATCAAGGTAAATTTTGATGTTAAAGAATGACACAAATAGGTCTTCTTTAAAGAATTTAAATGCAGCAGAGAAGGATTCTACAAAAGGAAGAAATGATGAGCAGATATCAAAAATATCTTCAGAAGTGAAAATTCAAACTAGATAATGAGAGCCTACTTGACATGATAGGTCCAGGGCTTTGTCAAAACTGTTTTCTTTTTTTTTTGAGACGGAGTTTCGCTCTTGTTACCCAGGCTGGAGTGCAATGGCGCGATCTCGGCTCACCACAACCTCCGCCTCCTGGGCTCAGGCAATTCTCCTGCCTCAGCCTCCTGAGTAGCTGGGATTACAGGCACGCACCACCATGCCCAGCTAATTCTTTGTATTTTTAGTAGAGACGGGGTTTCATCATGTTAACCTGGATGGTCTCCATCTCTTGACCTTGTGATCCACCCGCCTCAGCCTCCCACAGGGCTGGGATTACAGGCATGAGGTCAATACTGTTTTCAAACTCAGTAAAGAATAAGTGTAATACTGTGGCATTCAAAAAAATTTAAGACTGTGCCTTTTTTTCACATATTTTTAATATAAATTTTTTCATCCCAACCTTGCCCCAGCAGCTCAGCCAACTCCTGCCCCCCTGGCCCACATGCTTGTAATGTTGTGTTGTGAGTTTCTAAAATACATTTTAAAATATACTTCATTTAATTATGAAAATGCAGACATAAAATGAATTTGTGTGTAGGTTTAGTCAAGTAAAATTAGAGTTAAATCAATTGATAAATGATTAAAATGTTCTACAGTAGGGAAACTTACCCAGTTGTCTCTTCTTCTAATTCGTTATTTTTCTTTCTTATTTGATCCACATTATACTCCAGTGATGATATTAACTCAAAAAGTTTTCTTAATTCTTCCTTTTCTTTGGGCTTGAAAAAAAGTGTTTAAAATTATTTTTATAAAATCTAGAGACACTAGAGATAAAAAATATTATTTCTTGTAAGTTGATGAATGATATGCATTTAGGCACGTGTATAAAGGGCATTTTTTAAACCTCACGCCAATAAGGACAGATTTCAAAAATAGTCAGGTTTCTTAAAACAGATAAAAATGATTCATACTTTCATCATTTTCTTTTCTGAAACTTAAACTGCCAAAAATGTTTGCTAAAAATGAGGGGTTTTACATATTAATACTAAGCGTTAGTAAGAAAAAAATAAGAGTAGTCATATTTACCTTTTAGTTTTTAAAGATGCTCTAGAAACATCATCATTAATGGTTTAAGATACTCCAAGTTTTGTTGTTTAGATCTTACTCAGATGATTTACTTACTTAGAAAACTCTTATCTAGTTCCCACGGTATTTTTGATTCTCATCTGTCCTCAGGCTGAGCTAAATACTCTCATTCTCTCTAAGTATTCACCCATGGGTTTCAGTTTTTCCCTTCCTCTTAACCACTTCTCTTTAAATAAAGTTTTTCTCTATAATAAACAAAAACATAACTTTTGTCTACTTATTGTGGCTTTAATATTATCCTATTTCTCCCCTTCCATTGGACTCTATGACACATGGTCTCATCCCGAGATCTTTTTCCATCACTTATTTGGTTTTTTAATACTGAAATCTGATTTTTAATAATTCCAATTAAAAAAAGTCCAAGGGTCATGAAGTACTTTATCCCGCTTTACTCAGCACAACTGCGAGCAGTGACCATGCTCTGTCTGCTCCTCTGACTCCACTTCATTTCTAAATGCAGAAACCTCTGAAGTTCAGTTCTATTTCTTTCTATTCCTCTTTTTAAACTCTCTCAGGGCTCCTAAAATCTCAAAACTTTGACCCAGATTCCCTAATCTACATTTCCAGCTCTGACCTTTTTCTTGAGGCCTCTTCCTTCTGGTACACATATTATAGACAATATTCTCAACCACATGCTCATACATTGCTACTTGGTATAGATTACTTTCATAGATAATGAATCTTGTCTATTTTATGTTCATTCTTGTTGATGTCACTTTGAGTACAGTGCTATTTTCTAATCTTGAAGGGGACAGTCTCACCCTTAGGATATTGACCAGTATATGCTGTCTTTTTTTGCTTGCTTTCCTTCTTTTTGACCAATATACTTTGTCCTTTTTTCTTTTTCTTTTTTTTTTTTTTTAAGGAGTTGCACTGTTTCAACTAGGCTGGAGTATAGTGGTGCCATCTCGGCTCACTGCAACTTGCACCTATTGGGTTCAAGTGATTCTTCTGCCTCAGCCTCCCAAATAGCCAGGACTACAGGTGCACCCCACCACACTCAGCTAATTTTTGTATTTTTATTAGAGACAGGGTTTCACCATGTTGGCTAGGCTGTTCTTGAACTCCTGACCTCAGAGAATCCACCCACCTCAGCCCCTCAAAATGTTGGGATTACAGACTTTAACCACTGCGCTTAGCTCTTGCTTTCTTTTGTAATTAAAACTTTCCCATGAGAATCAGATTATCAATTGTTTGCCTTCGTTTTCTTTTGAATAATTTCCTTTTCCATAGAGATATGGCATGATGAAAGTCTTGTTCTAAAGTTTCTTTCAGAGGGACACTCGACTATATTGTTGGGAAGCTCCAGTCAGTAGAGGTCTCCCTTCTTCCCAATCAAGATTCGTCATCTCAAAATGGTGTCAACCAAATGTTGTAATCCAGGTAGTTTCTTGCTTAGGAATTCATGAAATAAGAACCTTCTGGAATAGAGGCTATTGATTGAGATGGTTTAATGCTGTCCTTACTAAATGTTTTACTCTCAAGCAGACATCAAAGTGGTTAACAAGTCTATACCTGATGTCTAACTCACTTATATGGGAATATATACAAAACATTTTATTTATGAGACAAAGTCTCACTGTGTTACCCAGGCTGGAGTGCAGTGGCCTGATCACTGCTCACTGCAGCCTTGATATCCCGAGATCAAGTGACCTTCCTACCACAACCTCCCAATGTAGCTGGGACTACAGGTATGCACCACCATGCCTCAGTTATTAATTTTTTCTTTTTTGGTAGACACAGGGTCTCACTTATATTGCTCTGGCGGGTCTCAAATTCCTGGGCTCAAGCACTGCTCCTGCCTGAGTCTCCCAAAGTGCTAGGATTACTGGTATGAACCACCTTACCCAACCAGGTGTTTCATAGAATGGTTTGAGAGGCAGTATCTCCATACAAGCCATAAGGCCTGGGTCTGAATCCCAGCTCTGCCAGGTGCGGGTAAGCCCCCATATAGGTACTGAGGAAGGAGAGCTAAGCAGAATCCTGGCACAATTAAGGCCTGGAGATTATCTCAGTTTATAGTGTTACTACTCAGTTATTTCCATATATATATACAAACTATATCTTAGTTTATAATCAGAGGAATGCCTAGAGCAGACACAGTACGGAGCATGAATTAAGGAATAAGCAGCTTATAGTTGGAGGAATGTCTGGAGCAAACACAGTGCAGAGCATGATTTAAGGGAAAAGCAGTTATACCAGGAGAAGAATCCATGGCCCAGGCGGCAGCGTTCAGAATCGTAAAGATACCTGCTGTGTGGCAGGCTTAAGGCGAGAGCCATTCCTTCTGATAAAGGAGTTATAGGACCTTGCTCCAGTTCCTGTGGAAGGCTGCCCTCAGACCGACAATTGCACCCTGGTGACTATGAACTTTATCAGCTCTTGTTACTGTGCTGCTCCAAAAGTATTCCTCTTGTTACTGTGCTGCTCCAAAAGTATTCCCCTATGGAACTCATTGGAAGCTGCCAGCAGGTGGTATAGACCCTGACAGCTCTGTCACTGCTATGTGAATTAAAACATGCTTCTATAAATCTTCTTAGTAGCTTGCCCATTGATAGAGGTATTACACACTGCACCCTCTTCACTGAGCACAGCCCTCCTTCAAGCCTCAGTGACCTAACGGGGGTGGACCCCTTACTGCACATGGCCCTTGCCTTGATGACCTAATGGGAATGGACCCCTTGCTGCACACTGTCCACCTCCCAGCCTAGGTGACCTAATGGGGTGTACCCCTTGTTTTATTGCTCACGACCCTATCACTATCCTTAAAGATGACTTCACTCACTGCCCTGCCCCCTAACCTATACACAATAAATACTCACGCTTCTGGACATTTGGCGCCTTGCCTGACTCTGCTCATAGGTGGCATGGCTTCCAGAACCCAGCTGTGTTTTCATTTTACTTCTGTGTCCTATCTCTTTATTTCTCAGATCCTGTACCTCAGCACAGCATAAAGGACACACCACGACCCTGTGGGCCATCATCTCTACACCAGGTACTAGCTATGTGACCTTGAGAAAATTAATTTTCTGTGTCTCTGGTTCTTTAGTTATAAAATGGAGAGAATACTACCATCTAGTTCACTGGGACGTTGGGAAGATTAAACCAGGGGCTAACATGAAGCACTTAGAGGAGTACATAGTGCATAGTAAGCTACAGATAACATTGGCTATTAGCATGATCATTTTTGCCATTTTTTTATATCTTAACAATTGTATGTGTTAGGCAGGTGGCATTCCAATGGAAGTTGCAACCTATAGCTGCGCTGAGTCACTGTTCATACCACTGAAAGTGGCAGCAAATGGGGGGTGTATAATTTATAGCTTACTTTTCTCTCAATATGACTCAGTGGGCAACGGTTACGTATGTACTACAATGTAAGTAGCACCTCCTGGATTCAGCAGTACATAACCGACATGACCAGCAGAAATAGGCTGAGCCACTGAGCTGAAAACCCTGGACTCTTTTGCTAAATGAAGGCTCCTGAATCAATTCCCTCCAGAAACTGTTACTGTGGTGCTGCTTTCACTAGCACTCTTGTAAGCTCTCAAAGTAAGGGTCTTTGTCATCAGACAAGCTGCAGCCAGACTGTGCAGCTGACAAACTGGCAGCCATCCAGAAATACAGTTCTGCCTGCATAGTGAAGGAAAGCAAATTTAGATCCTTTTTTCATATGGAGAAAAACATGAGCATCTGATTGAACAATTCTCATTAGACTGATTGGTTAATTGCTAAGAATACACTTAGAATAAAAGGTTTACTGTGTCAATGTCTCAAAGGAGAAATAACTGGTATGATAGAAAGTATTTAACTCTATGCTAAAAACTGCTAAGCTAAATATTTTCAATTTATACAAGCATAGGTGAGAAGCATGTCATATATTATTTTCCCTTTAAGCAAATTTATAATGAGACAAAATTATCTCCCAGAGAAAAATTAAAGCCCTGTAAAACTGAGGGCTATGTTGTTCTGCACAGACTGGACAACAAGAGCTGAGACGTAAGGTCAATGAGAGTCACAACAGAGAGAGCTTCATGAAGAAGAGGAAATTGTCTGCCAGGTCTGAACGAATGAGGCTAGGTGAACAGAAACTGAGAAGGCAGGAGGGACAGGATGGACAGTATGAGTAAGACTGTTGCTGAAATCTGCTCAGTTAACTCAATGGCAGGGAAATAAAAACATATGTCCATATAATAAGCTGTAAATGAGTGTTCACAGCAGCTGTTTTCATAATGGCCCCAAAGTGGGGAAAAATCCTGAAGGTCCATCAACTGATGAATGAATGGAAGACCATGGGGCCATGAAACAGACTATTATTTGAAAATAAGAAGAAATAAACTACTTATATGTGCTACAACATGGATAAAATTCTGCAAACATTACACTGAGTGAAAGAGCCAGTCATAAAAGACTTCACATTGTATGACTCTATGTATATAACATTTAAAGAACATGCAAATCTATGGAGACAAAAGTGAATGGTGGTTACCTACAACTGGGGTAGGTAGAGGGCATGGAGAGGGGCTGCAGTCATGACTAAGAGACATCGGGTTACTTTTCAGAGGGGTGGGTATGTTCTAACATTGATTGTGGTGATGGTTACATAACTCTGTGAATATGCAGACACTGAGTTGTACATTTTAAATGGGTGAACTGTCTGATGTGTGAACTATCTCTCAGTGAAACTTTTTAAAATCCAATGGCAGGATCAAGATAATTTTCTCAAGTCTGTTTTGGGTGTACATACTCTATGGGATCTGAGTATTTCTATGCGTTTACAGCATATTTTAAATGAAAGAAAAATGAAGACAATGCCCAACTTTTGAAGTAGTTTGTAAATTAACCAAAAACATGTATATTTCAAAGAACAGTATGATGGCCTTTCTCTAGTTAACCTAGAATCCATGAAATAAATAGGCACAGCTTCTGTGTCCATTCACAAAAATGAAGAAATAAGACAACTTTCTGGAACATTCCGTTAAACATTCTTCTCTGACTTAATCTGGCTTGCCTCACCAAGGCAATAAAGAAATTATCTAAAAATACTGTTTAACAGGAAAAAAAGTCAATTTTCTGTGAGGAATGATATATAATTCTCAACTTTTCCAAGAGTAAATATTGTGAGAGAAAAGGTATGCAATTATTTTTCAAAATGGCAGAATAAAAACCAGAGTTTAAGCAATAGGTATATTATCAAGATAATAAAACAGTAATCATTAATTATAATTAAAATGCAAAATCAAGTTGCCCACTGAAGTCAGTAACCTAAAACATTTTATATTATTCAACACTATATTATTCAGTTAGTTATATCACACATTAACTGTTGACATGTTAAATGCCATACATACCTGACTTCCTACTTGAAATAATTTTTTCTTTGAAGCTCGTGTCTCATCCAAATTAATGTGACAATGTGATGTACCTTCCAGTGGAGACTCTGGCATAGGTACGTTTTTAAGGCTACCAGCCAGTTCTTCTTGAAGTTGTCTCACAATCACCTGATAAAATATTTTTATTACCAATTTTATACATTGCTTTATTATTAAATTATGTTCATAATATTTAACTCTAATGTATATACGTTGAAAATTACTATCACACACACAGACTCTCTTTTCCTCATATGTACACATTTTTGTTTATTACTGAATTCAGTGAGGAACACAGAAGGTGTTATGTTCCCACTAAATTGGTATTATTTTATTTACATGACAGATTGATTCAGCCTGCTATTCATTCATCTTAGACCTTCAACTCAACTTGAGTTTCTCACATATTCAGTCACAGGTTCAAGTCTTTCCAACAGATTCCTATCTCAGGATAAACGTAAAATTCCAGTGGCCTTCAAGGTCCTAGGTAACATGGCCTCTACCTCCCTCTCTGACCTCAGCTCCTACAACTCTGTCATGTCCTCACTGCATTGCCACTTTACATGCACTCTACCACCCCTCATTAGCCTGAAAATGGAGACCCAATGTCAAACTCATAAATCACAGGCAGCTGCAAGTATCTTTGTACCGGGAAAAATTATAGCCAAATAATAGTCACTGAGACTTAAAATGTAAATTGAGCTAATCATTAATAAAAATATTCAAACTAAATTATAAATACTTACCAGCTGGAACATTAAATCAAATATGTTTTGCTAAAATTTACCACATTTGTTCCAAATTGTGGTTTTATGACAAGTAGATGTCTTTAAAATATTAAGTGGTCAGAAAAAATACATAATGTGAGACTGACCCATTTTGAGACTTAAGTTACATTGACAGGAATCAAAACAAAGTTATACTAACTAAAATATATAAAAGAGCTACTGAAGGAAAAGCATCATAAGACACAGCAACACACTTCAGTTCATCTGGGAAATCTAGAATTAAGTGTCAAAGCAGCTCACTTAATTGAATCTTAATTTCAAAATATTTATTTCAATTACAGGCATTTCCACGTATCTGCTTCATTATGGTCTTAAAATGTGGCAACATAAAGACATTCAATTTATTATTTCAGCAGTATAAGACTACATACCTCATCAACATTACTCTGTATCTACTAAAATCTCATAGGTGACACAATGTCTTTACTCAAAGTAAAGCATCTGTCAGCTCTACCTTTTATTTCCTGGAAACAAAGTGTGTTTTCAAGCTAATACAGAAAACAGTTTTTTTTTGGGGGGGGAGGGTTGATTAAAAAAAGGCTTTGTTGAAATATGATTTACATACTATAAAATTTATCTGTTTTCACATACAGTTCAAAGATGTTTAGTAAATTTACTGAGTGGTGGAACCATCTCTACAATCCAACTTTAGAACATTTCATCAGTCCAGGACAATCCCTCATGCCCGTTTAGCAGTCACTACCCATTTCCAGTGCTACTCCTACACAAACATTAATCTACTTTCTGTTCCTATACATGTCTTTTCTGGATGTTTCATATAACTGGAATTATACAGCATGATAAACACAATTCCATCTATTTACTTTTTAATATTGAACTAGGTTCAACATATAGCCAAAATGAAAAGTTTACATTTTCTTTCTGGAAGGTTAAAAATATTTCTTTCTTCATACTTACTTTTATTTCTGCTTCTTCTTTTTCATACTGAAACAGTTTTTCTTTTAAATAATTATATTCATTAATTAATTCTTTATTTTTCTCTTCTAGAAGAAGACCTTCCTTTACACACTCATCCCAGCCTCCTTGGGTATTAATTACTATATTTTCATTATTGCCTTCCTTACAAGCAGCCTCTAGTAGTTGTTCAAGCAAGAGATTTTCACATTCTACTTGATGTATTCTCTCCTCTACACAGTTCTGCTTTCCAATGAACTGACTCTCTTTAGCTTCCTCATTTAGACGCATCTGCTCCATTTCCTTTATTCGATGCCGCTTTTGCCTTAGGTCCCTCTCTGCACTTTCTAAAGCCGATGTCTTTTCCCTGAGAGCATCTCTTGTCTCATGGAGCTTCTCTTTTAACATATGGAACTTCATCTGAGCGTTAGAAAGTTGTTCCGTAAGCAACTCATTCTTATCTTTCAGTTGAGAAATATTAGAAGTCATTATTTCTCGTACAGAAACATCTTGTGCTCTCTGTAAAGCAACTTGTAGGTATTTTGTTTTCACCCTTTCATTGTGCCCATTTACAGCAGCAGCCAGGATGGAACGGAGGAATGCAATTTCAGCTTCCACTCTGTCCTTGTTGTGTTTTACCTTCTCCAGTTCTGAATTCAGCCTTGTATTCTTAGCTTTGAATTCATTAAGCTGTTGACAATACTGTGATATTGTTTTTGTTATCATTTCCTCATTGAGTCTTACACTCTTTTGAAAGTTAGCATTTATTTCTCGAATACTTTTAATTTCCAGAATATGTTCCTTTTCCTTTCTGAGACTGGCATTTTTTATTGTGTATAATTTCTGTCTGAGTACGGCAGTATCCCTCTTCAACATGCAATTTTCATACATGACATCCTTCTTTTTTCCATGACTTTGAAAATCCTAAATAAAACAAAAGAAATGTTTAGCTAGCACTCAATAAAATATCATGGTTACCTGTGAAGTGAAAGAACACCCTGTACTTTCAAGCAATTTAAAAGGATGCTGTAAGTGGATATCCAACTGGAAAAAAAGTAGAAGCAAAACCTTCCCTTAGAGAGCATAAACTTCAAGAAGTTCAAAAATTTATCTGAAGTCAATGAATACATAAAAGTTAAAAGAAAAGCACATGCTAGAGAATTTTTAAGAATGTCAGAATTGTAAAAGCCTTACTCTGAATTACAACAAACTCAAAGCATGAAGTAAAATATTAACAAATTTGACTAAATTAAAATATTGGAAAAAGAAAATTGCATTTATACTCCAGTATCTAAGCCATACACAGCCCTATAGCAAGAGTGTTACATCTGTGTATATTTAGAGAGATAAAACTTCTCAGTTTTTAAAGTTATGCTTCCCTGATAATATTCTATCGTGATTAGACACTTTTAACATTTTTAGTCAGTTATAAGAATTACATTCACTAAATCATAAATCTAGACATTGTACTAAGCACTTCTACATAAATACATTGATAAACTGATTTAGTTATCAAGATTCTTTTAAAAAAAAGAGAGGTTAAAAATACAAGCAAGCTGCAGGATTTTCCCCAGGGCTTCTGACTCTACTTCTAGTTCTCCACCAGATCACTGTTACTTGTGTGGTGTGAATATATCAACACAAAAACAAAGAAACAAAAAGACACAACACAAAATGTGCCTTCTGTCTTTGTCACCTGGATTTTACATGAAATAGCCAGATTGAGAGAATGTGACCTTGTGGGGCTTCAGGAACAGAAAAGAAGCTTTTCCTTTTCTGCACTAAGTTATTCTTTTCCCCACTGCCTTTTACTTTTGTTTTTTCATTTGGATTATGGGGTATCAAAAAAGTAAAGGTGCTCGCTGAAGTAGAGGAACCAGAGTTTGCCACCCAAGGAGCAGAGTTAAACTGCCGAGTTGCTAGTGCAGAATCCTGGAAAATGAGATGTTGCCCAAATTTCACATTAAATTACCACAGAAGTTTACAGTTGAGAGATATACAGTACAGTTGTCTACTCTAGCCCCATTATCTACTTCATAATGGAAGTAAAACCAAGAAATACTAAATAATTCACCCAAGGCTCCTAAGGTGGCATTACCTAGCATTTCATGGGACCAAAAGAAAAGATACAATTTAAATTATGTAAATTGCCAGATAAATATATCACGTTAGTCAGATAAATTAAAAGTGTGACTTTGGCAAAGCGATTTGATGCCTCAGAGTGTGGTGGGAGGGTTCAATTGCTTTTATTTTGAAAGAAGTAAAATCTCTACCTTTAGAAAGAAGCAACATACAGAATTCAGCTCTCTACTATAAAATCAAATGCTAAATTTTTGGCTGAGGAGTTATGCTACTTATATGATCAAGTCATATATGTGTCCAAATTTACCATATTTTGTTAAATAATGAGTGGGACTCCATCTAAAAAAAAAAGATTTTTACCTCAGCATATCATAGATAGTGAACTTATACAGAGAATTGATGTTTCTAAAGATTACCTGAAGAGTAGGCAAATGCTAAGTTATTAGAAGACAAAATGAACACCAATTAGAAAGAAAAGACAATGTCTACATTCTTCTAAGTGATATGATATGTAATATGATAGTGTTACGTATCTAGAGAGATTATCTGCTTAAATGCAGTTCTAATGTATTCTAAGTTCCACTAGTGACAGTGGATTAATCAATTTTAGTAATATTTACTATTTATGCTAAAATAAGAAAGTTATTGTTTGTATCCTGACACCAAAGTTTCCATTCTGGAAGGCATAATTCTCTTAATAGGCAGTTGGGTTGATTTTATGACCCCATTCTCTCCCTGGACATAGACACTGAAGGTAACCAAAGATCAAAAAACAGAAGAAATCTTTAACCTCAGCACTGGAGGACCAGCAACATAGAAGACCTGCCAGGTCTGAACCACTGGCAATGCTGACTCCTTTAACATGAGTTGAACTCAGTGACCAACACTGTTCAATTGTTCCTAATTTCTCTTGCATAGTAATACAACTCAGTTTTCTATGTTACCTTCTCTATCAAGGTTCTAAAAATAAAAGAGCAAAGAGACTTCTGGAAATTTCTGGCCTCAACTCCAAGGGTAAAGACAGCTATGAGTTACTACAGACTGAAAGAATATTTCAGATTTTATAACTGATTAAAATGTTTTCAAATTAAATATGAAATTATGATCTGTTGGATTCTAAAAGGATAGTCAAAAATGTCACTTCATTTGGACTATGTTATCTTATTAAATAAAAAAATTTAAATTTAAATTGTTATGTACCTGTGGCTGTGTATTTTCACTTCTCTTGAGCCTTTCTTTTGTTTCCTCTGAAGCCACTTTTAAGTCATGTTCTACTGAAAAATCCATATGTTTAGTTAAAATGAATGACTTAGAATAGTTAAGCTCTATAACTTTTATAAAAATGGATATATAATAGCATATACTTTTATAAATTGGGAGTTTACATGAAGCTTAATGTTTACTGGAGTATTTATATCTTTAAGTAACACTTCTAATTCTTTAAAACTTCAACAAACACTTGAAGAGACACTAGATATCAGCAGGTTCGAGTCATGCAAAAATCTTAGGGTCACCCACAAATTGTTCCACCCAACATAAATAAACAAATCTGCTGGAAACAAAAGTTTAAAATACAGTGAAAACATATAAAGTTAACATTTTACTATTCTCTACTTCATAATAATTATCTTCTGAACAACATGTTAAGCTAGTTGGTATTTACCAATATTTTCAAAATTATTGTTACCATTTATATCTTTATTAGGATACACCCTGTTTTTAAATTCTGAAATTTTTTCCTCTACTATTCTAACATATTTATTTTCATTATTGAAGACTCCGAATGTAGGTTGGGAATAGTAGCTCACGCCTGTAATCCCAGCACTTTGGAAGGCCCAGGAGGAAGAATTACTTGAGGTTGAGACTTTAAGACAAGCCTGGAGATTATAGTGAGTCAGTTTCCCTGACTCGACAGGAAATTTGCCATGCATGGTGGTGTGTGCCTGTAGTCCCAGCTACTCAAAAGGGTGAGGTGAGAGGATTGCTTAAGCCCAGGAATTTGCAGTGAGCCTCGATCACACTATTGCATGCCACCCTTGGTGACAGAGTAAGACCCTGTCTCCAAAAACAGAAAAAGAAAAAGGCTCAGAATGCTATGTCAAGTCCTCCTCAAATCTGGCTGTCTTTGTCCACATACACAGGTGTCTCCTTCCTTCGGGCTCCCTTCGTACATTGTCAATTTTTCTAGTGTCACTCCACCACCTATGAGCTGCACATTATGTCTTTACGTGTCTATCCTCTTTGCTGCTAGACTGTAGCAATCATCTTTCTATAAACAGCCTTTATTTTACTAAAGATGTATTGAGTTCCTGCTGAGTGGTAAACACTGGAGTTTAAAGAACGGAAATAAAAGCCGTCGGAGATAGCTTTGCTAGAGATCACACCTGAGTCTGAGCTGAGACTTAGAGAGTGAGGTTCACCAGATTAAAAGAAGCAGAGGGCAGGAAAGGTAGCGAATGCCAGGCAGTGGCAAGAGAGGGAGAGAAGCCTCCCAGAGCGTATGTATTTGTCTGCATCAGTGGGATGGTGACGAAGGCATTACCAGAAGCTCAGTAATGCCAGATAAAAGAGCAGACAAAGAAAAGGCTGCAGATGGAGATTTGGGCAGAAGCCAGTTCCTGAAAGCCTTGTATAAACCAACTATTATTGTCATTTCTTAAATTAAAAAAAAAAAATTTAAAAAGCATAATTCCGAAACAAAAGACCAACATTGCATTTTATCTTATCTTATTTGATTTGATTTTTATTAGAGATGGGGGTCTCATTCTGCCACCCAGGCTACAGTGTAATGTTGCTATCATAGCTAACTGCAGCCTCAAACTTCTAGGCTCAAGCAAGTCTCCTGCTTCAAGCCTCTCAAGTAGCTGGGATGAAGGTGCAGAACACCACACCCAGCTACATTTTCTAAAAAAAAAACAATAGACATGGGGTTGCCCAGGCTGGTGGACCTTCTGGCCTTAAGGGATCCTTCTATCTCAGCCTCCAACACTGCTGGCATTACAGGCAGGAGCCATCATGCCCAGCAACACCAATATTTTCAAATAAATCTACCGGAGCTACATCATTTTATTGTATCATGGATGGGCAAAAATCTGTAATAGACTCATATACTCCCTAGATTTGTGTCAAGGAAACTATAGCATTAACTACAGCTGAAGCTTCTCTTGCCTCTGACTCTTTACGTAATTAAGAGTAGAGACACTCAAGTGTCTTAGGGTTTGTACCTTCTTCATTTTTTGAAATGTGCAGGCTTTGTAGCTGCTGTTTCTGTCAATCATGCAAGCTTGTTAGATATCCCTTCTGGAAAACTTCATCCTTCTGTCTTCTTACCTGGCAGAATTTTACTCACTCTGCATGCTTACCCTAAATCCCACGCACTTCTTAGAAGTTTGCACTCATCAGCACAAATTTAAAAGTGCATGGCATATAATGAACATAATAAATGCCTGGTAAATAATCACTATATGCTCAGGTGACATCTATCCTCCATCTGTCCTCTACATAAGGGTCAGCAAACTAGAGACCACAGGCCAAATCCTACCTACCATATGTTTTTTCTCAATAAAGTTTTATGAGAGTACAGTCATGCCTATTCACTGACATGCTGCCTATACCCACTTTCACACTACAATGGCAGGGTTGAGTAGCTACAAGAGGTCACACAGCCTTCAGCTGCTGAAATCATTTGAGAGACGGGGGGGGGGAGAGAGAGAGAGAGAGAGAGACAGAGAGACAGAGAGACAGAGAGAGACTGCATTGCCTAAAATATTTCCTACTTAGCCCTTTACAGAAGCAGCTTGCCAATTTCTGCTTTACACCATGAACAGAACACCCTAATTCTCAAATCTAATGCCTCCGCTGCTCACAATTTTCCAATGAAATTCTAGAGCAAACACTGCTGGCTCCCTACCCAAGAGCAGTTCTTCATTGTTTCTTGCTGGAGAAACTCAAATCTATTCGGATATTTATTATCTCAATACCCCTCCGCAGCTTCAAAAGAGAATTATTCTAAGCTCATCACATCATTACATTTGCTTTTCCAGTGCCTGCTTCAGGGATGAACATGTGGTGTGACCCAACCCATAGGATGTTAAAGGAAGCCCCCTGCATGCTTCTGAGTTTTCTCCCAATTTAAAAGACACATGTGAAGAAAAGCATTCTACCCAAGAAGTTTCCCCTGGCCTACAGGATAAGATCTACTCATTTCTATACATTAAAAAGCCTTTTATTGAACTTGTTTCTAAACAACAGGTAAAACAACAACAAAGTCTTTCCTAAGCTTGCCTTCACTGGCACATAATGAACATAATAAATATATAATAAATAATAACTATAAGTTAGTTTACCCATTCCCAACCACACCCATATTAGACATTTTTGCACTAGTAAATTTGAATGGCTCATAAGCTCTACAAAGTTCACTCAGGTGTCCCACCTTTTGAACTTGCTCCTCCTTTTTTAAAACTTTCATTCTTCGTGGCTGCTGCTTCTATCAAACATGCAAGTTTGTTAGATATTCCTTCTGCCAAGCATCATCCCTCTGCCTCCTTACCTGGCAAAGTTCCACTCACTCTGTATGCCTACTCTAGATCCTACCCACATTTTAGAAGCCAGCATTCATCACCACAAATGTAAAAGTGCCTGGCATGTACAGAACATAATACATACATATTAAATAATAACTGTAAGCTTCCAGCTGACATTGGATGCACAGTAAGCACTACATAAGGTAGCAAATAAAATAAATGACAATGGTAATACCAACCTCCTAACTGTATTTTTAAAATGTATTTTGTAACATTGGAAAAAATGTTTTGTCCACAAAAGACACATGATTGATAGTTACCTTTTAAGTGGACAAGAATGAATTAAAATATTTTCTTAAAATTCTGTTGAAAAAACACAAAAATTAAATAGTTATCTGTATTCGATTATGAGCACCTTAAAGACAAAAACTATGTCAATTCCATCTTTGTCTCCTGAAATTTGCCAAACCTAGCTTACAGATGTGGCTTGATAAATATAGACTAAACTAATGGTGTCTTCATACAGCTCAGATTGTACAATGCATTAGGTGTTATGTTTTTGTTATTGTGAAACATTTTTATAATTTTATTATTAATTTTTGAACCTAGAGTTTGGCTATTGGAATATTTCTTATTATTATCTTTTGCCTAATGATAATAGAGTATCTCTCTTTCTTTCTTTTTTTTTTAAGATGGAGTCTTGCTCTGTCACCCAGGCTAGAGTACAGTGGCACAATCTCTGCTCACTGCAATCTCCACCTCTCAGGTTCAAGCAATTCTCCTGCCTTAGCCTCCTGAGTAGCTGGGATTACAGGTGTCCACCCCCATACCTGGCTAATTTTTGTAATTTTAGTAGAGATGGAGTTTCACCATGTTGGCCAGGCTGGTCTCAAATTCCCGACTTCAAGTTATCCATCTGCCTGGGCTTCCCAAAGTGCTGGGATTAGAGGCATGAGCCACTGTGCCCAGCCTGGTAACAGAGTATCTTGTTCCAACAAACTTACTATTATTATGATAATTAGCCAGCACATTAAAAAAACACGCTTGTTCTAAGATGTGAATATATCTCATGAGGTTCCAACTGATGGAGAATGAAGTAAAAAATAGCCCCTGTTTGTGTAAGAATATGTAATATAACTTCTGCTTCTTGGAAAGCAATTACTTTTCTGTCTTCTGCATTCAATAGGTATCTTCAAAAATAATCTATTTGTATGGGTGCACACTGGCTTAGTTTTATGGTTCTTATTGCCATTTGTTTATGATATCAGAAAGAAATTGTTGAGTTCCCAGTTCTAAAGATAGGTACTTTCTTAGTGACACAAATTCCTGTGTAATACAGTTGACCCTTGAACAACAAGAGTTTGAGCTGCAGGGGTCCACTTATATGCAGAGTTTTCATCTGCCTCTGCAACCCAGAGACAGTAAAACCAGCCTTTTTCCTTCCTCTGCAGCCTAATCAACCTGAAGATGATGAAGATGAAGACCTTTGGGAGAATTCACTTATGCTTTATGAATAGTAAGTGTATTTTTTTCTTTTCTATGATTTTCTTAACAGCTTCATTTCTCCAGCTTACTTTATTGTAAGAACTTAGTACATAATACTGCAACACATACCAAATATGTGTTCATCGGCTGTTTATGTTATCAGCAGGACTTCCACTAAATGGCAGACTACTAGTGGTTAAGAAGTTTGTAAGGAGTAAAAATTATACTCAGATTTTCAACTGCACACGGGTTAGAGTCCCTAACCCCCACATTATTCAAGAATCAACTGTAGTTAACATTTATTTACTAAACACAAACCATTTATTATAAAAGTTAAATAGAAGATCTATTTGCATGACAAGTCCAATTTGTAATAATTTGATTAGACAGAAAAATACACTAATTAAAAATCTAATTTCTTATTTAAATTAATACAAAAATATCATGTAGAATTTCAATGATCCTAAGTGGGTGAATTAATTTTTTAAGACAATACTGTTTTGAGATTATGAATGAGCTACAACGAACTTATTAAATTACTCTGAATTCTAAAGAAATTAAAATTTTAAAATTAATTTTTATGTTTAAACTGCTCTTTTATGATTAAAACTATAGAATCTTACTTTACTTTTGCTTATTTTTTATTTTTTGGAGACAGAGTCTCACTCTTTCATCTAGGCTGGAGTGCAGTAGTGCGAATACAGCTATTGAAAACTCCACCTTCTGGAATCAAGGGATTCTTTTGCCTCAGCCTCCGGAGGAGCTAGGATTACAGGTGCCTGTCAACATGCCTGGCTAAGTTTTGTATTTTTAGTAGCCACAGGGTTTCACCATGTTAGCCATGCTAGTCTCAAACTGCTGACCTCAGGTGATCCGCCTACCTCGGCCTCCAAAAAATAGGCATGAGCCACTGCACCTAGCCTGCAATGCTACTTTTAAAAATCAGTAAGACCACCAAGAGAAATGAGAAATTTACTATCAAGAAGTCTTACCTCGATTGTCATCTTGAAGATGATTTTTAAATTTCCTGTTTTTATGTTCCAGAATTTGTTGTTGAATCCTATGCATAATGAATGTCATAAACAAATTACCATTCGAATAGCAACATGAAAAATATTTACCAAACATATTAAATACTTAAAGCATTTCAGACAATATCAGAGCTAATATCAGAACTCTAATGTCCCATATGCTTTAATATTTGAAGCTCTGTAAACCTATTAGGCTTCTAATTAAAGAAGAAAAACATGAAGTACTCATTCTGTGAGAGAAGCATAGCTCAGTAAATAAATTCTAGTCAGCTTAAGAGCCTGGAAAGTGTCCTGCACTCAGAGTAAGTCCTCGCTCTGTCACCAATAGACATTTTGTTTTCAGACTGGCTTCTTCTAAAAAACAGCGATTTTACTACCTTATTTTTCTAAGTTGCCAGGAGAATGTAATGAAATAACATGTTTAAATGCTCAGAAAAATAGTAAAGCAATTGAATAATTTATTCTTAAACTGTATTGCTGAGACAATTTAGGAATCTCAAATAAAACGTGATGGGTATTTTCTCACAGGTTCTAATATTTGAATGTCACAGTGTTCAGAAAATGTTACCACGTGCTAATTTTGGTTATTAGTTCCACTGAGCATGGCTTGTAGTTCAGAGCATTTTAGCTAATTTATAACTTGTAACTAAATTTATATGTAAATATACTATTATCTCATTAAAACATATTACCTAATTGTCCCCTATTACTGAGCTCATCAATCACACCAAGGCCAGAAAACTAACAGAGGTCAAAACCTTGCTTGGACAACTACCATTTCTTCTCTGTCTACTCAAACTCTGAGCCAGCAGATCTCTGTTAGAGGGCTGCATCTTCTTGATCCTCTCCAACTGACATACAAGACAAAACCCTGCTTGTACTGTTTCTCATTTCCATGAAAGAGGTCCACGTTGATGTTTCCTCATTTCCAAGTCATGTGCTAACAACATATTTGCATGTAACATCCCATATGTCACTCAGCTCTGTTCTCATTTCACAGATCACCTCACAGGATATAATGATAACAAAAGCAGTTTCAATATGGGGTGTCTCCTGTTCTGGTTTGACTCACACTGTTTCCTTGGAGCTAGTTAACAAATAGACAAATGAACTTCTGAGGACTATGCCAAATATAGAATGCTTTATGAATTTGCGTGCCATTCTTAGGCAGCAGGCGTGCTTATCTGTTCTGTTTTGATCTAATTTTAGAATCTGTGCTGCTGAAACAAGTATAAAGCCCTGTTTTATACATGGCTACTCATGAGTCATGGATGAGGCTCAACTCTGTTAAATCCAAATTACCTACTTCAGATACAGAGAATTCTGTTGAATGACTTCCTGTGAGGTAGAATTTTAAAATATTTTTAAAATTTGAGGTAGAGATGCAAGTAGCCTGAGAGATTTTCATTACTATGGAAAAGGATTACTTGAGGGGCTGACTGCAAGTTGGTACCCACTACTCTATTGAAGAAAAATGTGGAACCTTCTGCTATCTAACAGAAGCTGCTACAAAGGACATACAGAAGCCCTAAGGTACAGATGTGATGACAAAAGGGAAAGAGAACTCTGATCTCTTTCTGAAACATTATTTGACAATTCCTGACTGTTGAGTACAATCCCAACTAATATTTGCTAGAGAAAAGATGAACACAGGTCTCAAAGGATAACTTACCATGAAGGTCTAGGCTAAGCCCAGCTAAGAAGTGGGCTACACATAAGGTTTTTAGTGTTGGGGGAGGGTCAGTTGACTCAATATGTGTGTGTGGAAAGCCAGGAGTCCTCGCTGCCAGAGCAGGGTGCTGGGAACAATGGCTGAGCATATGTACAGGAACTAAAAAACTCCGTAGCTGTGAACTCTGTGTGTGAGTCACCATGAAGACTCAGGGATCTGAATCAGTAAAGGCATCCTGGTGGCAAAGGTCAATCATTACCAGATTGCAGGACCAGTTACAATGGCAGCAGCAATACAGCAAGTGAATAAATGGAAACAACAGAATGATTAGAATGGCCTTTTCCCCTCTTCTTCTGACTTGTAAATCAAGATTGTCTTCTTTGGACCTAGGGAATCCCTTAGCTTTCTGAAAAATTCAAAGGAGGAAGGCATAGGACATAGCCCCAGGGGACAGTACAAGATTTTCTGCTAAACTGGACATTTCGAGACCCAATAACTAATTAGAAAAGTCAGGCCAGGCATGGTGGCTGGCAGTTTGGGAGGGGGAGGCAGGAGAATCACTTGAGCTCAGGAACATGAACAACATAGTGAGACCTTGTCAAAGAAAAGAAAAGAAAAAAGGAAAGAAAGAGGAAAAGATGTGATATTATTTATATCTCACATATAAAGGTTATACGTGGAATAAAATGAACAACATTGAGATCTCTAGGGATAAAGACCTTTAAAAGTCCTGAAAGAATCTTGCACTCACTGCTACTTCTAACTAGTCTAGCTTTCTGTTTGATTTCCGGCTAAAAAGTGGACTGACCCATTGCCATTCCAAACGACCTCAACCAAACTACGAACTGTCATCTAATGTATAAGATGCAATATTTGTCATTATTTTGAACCTTAATTTAGTATTAACTGGTCTTTTAAGTCAAGCACTTACCTTATCAAATCACAACAAACAGCATAATCTTCTGCTGTTTGTCCAAACATATCCTGAGAAAAGACACTAACATTTTGTTCAAGGAGAAGGCTGACTATACTTGGCAAGTTATGATGTGCGGCAAGCATGAGGGCTGATCTGAAATAATAAAGAAATAACTCCACTCAAGAACTGGAATAAAGGTACTTAATCAGCAAATTTGATACACTTTACCAATTTACTATCTTGCCTGTCAGTGTAGACACAGTAACAGTTTACATGCTCTAGCTTATGTCTATCAGCATCTTGGGTGCTCGAGTGTTCATCTTTGTAAATTGCCACCAAGGCTTAAAGGCAGGGGCAACAAGGAAGCCTCTTGTCCCCCTGGGGTATGACATAACACAAGTTGCTAACTTACTGTCCTTTGACAGCCAAGAAACTATGCTGAGGTCACTTATCTAAAGTAGGCAAAGATTTAAAGGAAAATTTCCCCATTGCTTTCCTAGTCTGATATATTGTAATTCAAAGTCAGCAAGGGGTCAGACAAGTAAGAGCCATCAGCAGGCTGAAAACAATGATGATAATAATGATACTGGTAATAGCAGGAGCTGTAAACTGAAAGTTAAAGTCTGCACTTTATAAAATTAATAAACTAGAAAACCCCTTTAGCTAATAAAAGGTTACAGGACCAAAAACATCAGATTAAAGATAAGAGTCTATCAGAGAAGATGAATCCTACTATGTACTGTTTTTTATGTTGCTCAGTCCCAATAATTGCTTTTCTACCTGATTATTTATGTTATTTTTCACTGTAGGCCAACAATTACAAGTTAATCTTTTTATTAATATTTCTCACTTGTGTGACTTTTACCACTCTAGAACACTCGGCTTTTTATTTAAAAAACAAAAAAAGAACTACTGTACCTTCTGAAATTGTCAACAGCGTGTACATTTGCCTGGTTCTTCACTAAAAATGTCACCATTTGCTGCCTCTTGCAAATTATAGCAAGTAAAAGTGGCGTGTTTCCCTCCTGTAAGAAAGCAAAGTAATTTATAATTCACAAAATTACATATTTCTCAACTGAACTAAAAATCTTCTATAAGATGCTATAAACTTAAACATACAATAGAGAAAGAAAGTAAATGCAAAGCAGCCCCTTCGTTCTCCCTCCTCTGTGCTTCCCCACACACTGCCTTGCAAACACCCCTTTCTGCCTCCCCACATTAACTTTGGTCATCTCCAAAACTCACTTTATTTACCAGTCCCATAAATCATTGCTTCTCTCACAGCATTTAGCACAGTATATTGTAATTATGTTATTGTTTCCCACTGAAACCTAAGAGCTTCTTGAGGGCAAGGGCTGTATCTTTTTTCTCTGTAACCCTAAAACCTAAGATGTGGTAGCAAATGCTTTAAGTTTTAAAAATAAATTGATGATCTAAATCATTATCTCTAGAGCAGTGTTTCTTAAACTATATTCCAAAGAATATTTGTTTGACCAGAAGTATTGTACCCAATAGAAAGAGTCCATGATCATCTGCAGTTCAGAAGTATTACAAACTGTATTGTATGTCCAAGAAACAAGAAATCTCTTGAACTTTGCCTAATCCCACTCTGACAATACTTTCTGTGGCAAACGTTAACATTTTAGGAACTAGACTTTCAGGGATACAGTTGCCAGAGCTTCCCCAAACAGGCTGAGCTTCCTCTGGGTGGCACACACTTGCTCAATTCACTTCTACCAATGGTGTCGGGATCCCAGATGCCAATGTCAGGCCCTCCTGATCTGAATGGATCACTAAAGAAATAAGCTCTGAATTAAGAGAGATTTTGGCTTCAAATGCACTTATCCTCCTTATTATTAAACAGTCCATGAGTTTTCTCCTAATACAAGAGGATTGATTTTTATCTTAACTGACAAAAAGCTCAGCATGTTCTGTGTAAGAGAAGCAGGTTAAAAATTTTTGAAAATAAGTCTGGGTGCAGTGGCTCATGCCTGTAATCCCAGCACTTTGGGAGGCTGAGGTGGGTAGATCACCTGAGGTCAGGAGTTTGAGACCAGCTGGCCAACATGGTGACGCCACGCCTCTACTAAAAATACAAAAATTAGCTGGCCATAATGGCACACGCCTGTAGTCCCAGCTACTTCAGAGGCTGAGGCAGGAGAATCACTTGAACCTGGGAGGTAGAGGTTGCAGTGAGCCAAGATCATGCCATTGCACTCCAGCCTGGGCAACAAGAGCAAATTCCATCTCAAAAAAAATTTTTCATTCTTAATTATAGTGATAATTCTGGAACCCTAATGCAGCTTTACTTTTTAACTTTTTTAATCCATTTGTATTGGTTTCCATTTACACTGCTATTTAAAATTATTTTTTTTACTTTAGGCAAAATATAAATCAGAAACAAAAATACAACAATTTATCAATAAAAGTTCAAATACTGATGTATATGGCTTATTTCTGGCATAATAAAAACCAATAAGTCACTTGTATTTTAAGGGACATTACTGGAAAGAAATATATAATGTCTGGAATATTCATAAACTATCCAACTCTCACCGGGAATAATCTAAAAAGGCTTTTAGGCATTTTTATGAGCAGATGACTATTTGTGGTATATGTAGAGAAAAAGAGTTAAAAAAGCCTTCTGAATTCTAAAATTCAACCCCATAATTGAGGGATTTATATAAACTATAAATTGTATATTATAAACCAATATACACTGTCTTGAAAACCTTGAAATCTTTATGAAAACAGACTATAAAACAGGAGTTGTGAACTCAAATACTTCTGAGGACGAAGGAGTTTACCTAAGTAAGCGGAGGACTTCGGTGGGCACAGGAGCAAACTAGAGAATCTGTGCCTCCTGTACAGGGGCAGCCTCTACACAGCGGACCAAACAGTGACGGGGCTCAAGGGACACCAGATTTGATTCTTAAGACAAGTCTGAAGTCCAGATTTCTTCATGAGTCTCCTAAATTTTACATTTTGACTCAATTTAAGTAGTCAAAAAAAAAAAAAAAACAACCACCAAATCTATGTGCCATATTTAGACTATAACCCTTGTGTTTTTATATTTGGTACGAATGTGTTACTAAATCGTTGTGTATAAACCAAGTATTTGCTTGTGTAATTTTTTCTTTCTCTAGGGTTAAGGTTCGGGTTGAAAAAATCAGGCCCTGATATGTATTTATGTATATATCTATATAATACATATTGCTGTTAAGACTCATAGTACCCACCTTGAGAGTTTTTACAACATGTATTCATTTACAATCTCTTTGTATATCATTTTCCCAGATTGTTAACCAAATAATTAGTTCATAGGACTTCCAAAACTAAATTATTAAAAGAATTCCTACTGTATTCTCACTGACTTCATGGATTTCAGTGTTTAAAACCGACATCCTGATTATGCCAAAACTCTACAAACTTAACACACATACTGAGATAGCCCATAATACAACTTCCACCGAAAAAAAAGTTTCCGTATTTGCTACTAATCTAATTAAAAAAGAAAACCTCACTTGTAATGAACATTTGTTGACACATAATTACCTGAATGTTGACAAAGGAACATGAAATTGTGAAAGGATCAGTCTCTGCTTATTCAACGGTTACCTACAAGCAAATTCCTAAAGACTCTCTGAATAGTAGCGAATGATTCACCATGAGAAGGAAAAGGTGTTCTGTAAGCTGAGAGACATTACCAACACTGTTTCTTTTCACTTCCCAGGCACAGACACAGAGAGAGACAGATAAGTCGGGCTATTATTGGAAAGGAGAACTTCGAAGGAAGTAGTGCTTATCAAATGCCAACTCTTTTGGAGATTTCTTATGTTTTTGAGATGTGGAAACTTACATACTGCACTCATCGATTCTGTGCTTCTTAATCAGGAGTGTATTCAAACCTAGAGGAATTTTTTTTCCTGCTGTTGTTAGAAACAAGAGTCTCACTATGTTGCTCAGGCTGGACTCAAAACCCTAGCATCAAGCTATCCTCTTACCTCAGCCTCTGAAGTAACTGGGATGGGGAACATGCCACTGTGCATGGCTTCAAAAAATATTTTGAACCATACATGTTCAGGTCTTATTAGATCTGTCACATCAAAATCTTCAAGGGAAATCCTACACTTGTAGATTCTTAACAGAATTTCCCCAGATCACTGTAAGGCACCATTCTAGCTGAGAATCAGGGCAGCAGACAATCGCTTGAGTTTCATCACTCACCCACACAGCCACTACTCATTATCAGTTTGGGATATGGCCAAAAAGAGAGAGTAAGAGTAACTTATTCAAACTCTGGTCAATGGGTAGAACAGGGACAAGTAAACTCAAAATCCCACTTGATTTTGCTATTTATAAGCTCCTTATCTCCCACCTTCCCACCAAGACATTCTAGATTTGAGAGGAGACTTCAGATTCTTATCTAAGTGGCTGTTTCTACCAGGATGGGTAATAAGTCTGTTACTAACATGTTCTACCCTTTGCTGAAGTGTTTCTCACTTTGTCGCCACCTATTCCTTACCAATCTGGTTTCCTCAGAGTCCTCTAAAAATTAGGCAAGTTTCAATCACTCTCTTTACCAAACCAAAAATGAGCTGAAGAGCACTTTGTCTCAATACGTAAGCTGGAAAAACAACCAACTAAGAAACGAAACCTCTTCTTTACAGTTTTCCCTCATTACCTAATTTCCAAGTGACCTGCATATTATCTCATTGCTCTCCTTTCCCTCTCCATTTTTTCCTCTTAAGCCTTGCCACTGAAAGATACATCAGTCTTTTAAAGAAAATTGTCAGCAGCAGCAAGATTTTCATTTACTGCAAGTCGATTTAGTTTTGTTTCAGTGTTAAGATAAAGCCTATTTCCAGGGTAGATTTTTCTTTCCTGTGTGTGTGGTTTTTGTTACACTAATTAGGGAAAAAGAAAACAAAACAAAACCTGTGGTAGGAAACAAATATTTGAAAAGAAAAAGTTTTACCTTGAACAGATTCACAAAGATTTCCCATAAGTGCACTAAAAAAGCTGTGCCCTCTAATGTTTCTTTAAAAGTATCAATATTTAAGGTAAAATCTTAGACAATTAAGTTATTTCAAAATATTTTCATTTAAGGAAGGCTTGAGTTTCCAAACATGAAAAATCGACCCTTACCTATGTCAATGTTAAAACAAATGTTTTGAAAAGAAAGTCGATTGATCGGTACCTTGTTTATTGCTTCAATATTTGCCTGGTGGGAGAGCAGTTTTTCTGTCAGTGAAGTCACGCTATTATATATAGCATAATGAAGAGCAGTGTTGCCGTAGACATCTTGAATGTTTGGATTGGCGCCATGTTCCAGCAGAATAATGGAACAAGCCTCCTTCTGACCATGTACAGCCTATCCGTGTTAGATAAAAAAAATTAGACTGTAATTTCTAAGAATTCAATACACATATTCCACAAGTTTCACCAACTAGTCATATTTACATGAGATAAATTCATTTTATTTACATGTATTTAAATCAAATCCATTCCATGCTGAAAGAGTTGACTACTATATACCTTCATTAACGGGGTCCTGTTTAGTCCGTCATCGATGTCAATCTGGCACTTTCTGCTCACCAACAGAGTGACCACTGCCACATGGCCATATGCACAGGCCAAATGCAGAGGGGTCCTGTGAGAGTGAGAGTAGTTTTCAGGAAATTGTAGTGCAGTATCTCAACACCTACAATGATTCATGAGATTGTAAACACTGAATAGCATGTTATTCCTATGCCTTCAAAACAAATAAGTTCCTTTTGAAGAAAGTACGGTACTTCTTAGCTCTCATTGCTCACTACCTTAATGAAACGGCAGCCTATTTGGATAGAATGAGCTTGGTCTATGAATTCAGTTCAACGAGGGCTTGAGTTCTTCTACTTTGAACGCTGTCACTGACCAGCTACTGCTTAGCCTTTCTGTACCTCAATTTCCTCATTAATAAAATAAGGATGACAAGAGCAGTTAGCACATAGGACACCACTGTGATGCTTAAATGAGAACCTATGTATTTAGAACTGTTTCTAGAACAAGCAACAACTCAGTAAGTGTTAGATTGTTGTTTTTTGAGACAGGCTGTCACTCTGTTGCCCAGGCTGCAGTGCAATGGTGTATTTATACCTCACTGCAGCCTGGAACTCCTAGGCTCAAGCAATCCTCCTGCCCCAGCCTCCTGAGTAGCTGGAACCACAGGAGTGTACCAGCATACTCAGCTAATTTAAAACAAAGTTTTTGTAGAGTAGGGATTTCACTTTGTTGCCCAGGCTGGTCTCAAACCACGGCCGGATGTTATAATTATTACTATTACTACTACTTAACAAAAACATTTTCATTAAGTAAGATGATACAATTATTCCTATTTTGCAGAACGATTTAAAGATCATGGCACATTTTAACATATCTGCTATTGGAATGGCATTTATTTTTTATAACTATCATTGGTAGCATTTTAAAAATTATCTCATTAATATAGAAAATAATAGGGTTTCACACAATCTGTGAGGCCTGACATTAAGTGGAATACGATATACACAGCAGGTCTAGGGCAGTTCTAGGCACCAAGGAACCCACCTCCCACTTCCAAGTTTCACCGTAAGAAGCCCCAGTGAAGAACCTACCTACATAGGTAGGTTCAGGTGTAAAAGGGACACAGGGTTTTCATCTGAGAACTTGTCACCTGCTGAAAATGACTCATGATATTTTTGGCATGAGAAGTTCTCATTAGGCACCTTCCTATCATATGGATGACACACCATGTTTTACACCTGTATATGCTTAACTTTGTGAGTTGAATCCCTCAAACTCTCCACCAAGTGCTACAGGCAAGGATCTCCACCGCAGGGAGATCCGGGCCGCTGGCATGGGCACTGGGCAGTCACCCGAGATGGAAAGCAGCTGAGGCTCCCTTTGGCTGCCAGGCACCCTCCAAGGCTCCCGCCCCAGCGGCTGCGGGGCTGCAGGGCTACAGGGAAGCCGGGCCTGGGGACCCCCTCCCACCCCTGGCTGAGCCTGCGCTACCTGCCCTTCTTGTCGCGGGCGTCCACGTCCTGGCTCCTGCACCTCAGGCAGCGCTCCACCTCTGCGGCGTTGCCCTTGATGGCAGCCCTGTGGATCTTCCGCAGTTCCGCGTCCCGGATGTGGTACCCGGGACCCGCGTACTCGTCGCGCTCGATGGAGCCCAGGACCGTCTGGCCCAGGCGTCTCCCAAAGCTGAAGAGCTTCCTCATGTTGGCGACTTCTTCTTCTCAGCCGCCAACCACCCGCTCCTGAGCCGCCGCGGCTCCTCGTGGCCTTTCCACTCCCACCCAGCCCCAAATCCACGATCCAGCCCCAAATCCGCGATCCAGCCCCAACCCGCGATCCACCCCAAACCCGCAATGTAGCTCTGAATCCACGATTCAGCCAGGTCCACCACAGCCTTCGGCAGCGGCACCCGCAACCTCTGACCTCTCAGATCCAGTGAGCCGGGTGAAGCTGTTGGACACGCGCCTGCAGCTCAACGCCTGCGGGGACTCCGGAAGCCGCTCCCAGGCCCGCGCGCCAGGCAGGGGTTGGCTGCAGCTCTGGCGCAGGTGCCGTCGGCTTCGGGGTTCTCCTGGGCTCGCCGGGGCCTTCCCGGAATCGCAGATGCCTGCTGGCACGAGGGCCCGCCTGGCCGTGACCCCCGCTCCGCTCCTCCTCCGAAGATAAATGGGGGCTGCTGGCAGGGGCCCCCTCAAGTACCGGAGATGCGGCTTAGGGCCGGTTTCCGCCCCGGTGCAGCCACCGCCAAGCAGACCTCCTAGTTTGGCCGCAGCCACAGCAACGTCTGGCCCCGGTTCTGCGAGGCTGGGAGCACCTTGCATTTTGGCCTGGCCTTGAATTTTGGCCTGACCTGGTATTTTGGTCTGGACTTTTGATCTGGCCTAGCCTTGCTTTTTGGCCTGACCTTACCTTTTGGCCTGACTTTTTGGCCTGGCCTTGCCACCACCACGCCCAGCTGATTTTTTTTTTTAAAGCGGAGTTTCACTCCTGTTGCCCAGGCTGGAGTGTAATGGTGCAATCTTGGCTCACTGCAACCTCCACCTCCCAGGTTCAGGCAATTCTCCTGCCTCAGCTTCCCGAGTAGGTGGGATTATTGGTGCCTGCCACCACACCTGGCTAATTTTGTATTTTTAGTAGAGGTGGGGTTTCTCCATGTTGGTCAGACTGGTCTTGATCACCTCTGGTGATCCACCCACCTCAGACTCCCAAAGTGCTGGGATCACAGGCGTGAGCCACCACACCGGGCCTTGACTCTAATTTCTTTCTCTCTGCAGGTGTCCCAGGGTGACAGGGAAAGTGCCCCAGGCATTGATTTGGGGTTCACAAGCACCATCAAGCAGGTGAATTTGCAAATACAAACTCTGTGAACAATGAGGGGGACTAGAGGACAGACTCAGCCTGGAGTGCAGTGGCATGCACCCAGGCGGGGTGGCTCACGCTTGTCTTCCCAGCACTTTGGGAGGCTGAGGCAGGCGGATAACCTGAGGTCGGGAGTTCGAGAAGAGGCTAACCAACATGGATAAACCCCATCTCTACTAAAAATACAAAATTAGCCAGGAGTGGTGGCACCCTGTAATCCCAGCTACTTGGGAGGCTGAGGCAGGAGAATCACTTGAACCCAGGAGGCAGAGGTTGCAGTGAGCTGAGATTGTGCCACTGCACTCCAGCCTGGGCAACAAGAGTGAAACTCTGAAATAAAATACAGTAAAGAAAGGAAGGAAAGAGAGAGAAAGAGAGAAGGAAGGATGGAAGGAAGGAAGGAAGGAAGGAAGGAAGGAAGGAAGGAAGGAAGGAAGGAAGGAAGGAAGGGAGAAAGAAAGAAGAAAGAAAGAAAGAAAAGAAAGAAAGAAAGGAAGGAAGAAGGAAAAAAGAAAGTGTAATGTATGCCTGAATGCAGCAGGTTGAATAGTGTCCCCAAAGTTCATGTCCTCCTGGAAGTCACATAACCTTCTCAGAGACACAGAGGGTCTCTGCGGTTGGAAGATGATGGGGATCTTGGGATGAAATCATCATCCTGTTTGTAGGGTGAGCCTTAAATCCAATCACTAGTGTCCTTTTAAGAAGGAGTGACACAGGCTGGGTTTGGTCGCTCACACCTGTAAAACCCAGAACTTTGGGAGGCCAAGGTGGGAGGACTGCCTGAGGCCAGGGGTTCGAGACCAGCCTGGCCAACAAGGTGAAACCCAATCTCTACCAAAAATACAAAAATTAGCTGGGCATCGTGGTGTGTGCCTGTAGTCCCAGCTACTTGGAAGGCTGAAGCACAAGAATTGCTTGAACCCAAGAGGCAGAGGTTGCAATGAGCCAAGATGGTGCCACTGGACTCCAGCTCGGGTGACAGAGCATGACTCTGTCTCAAAACAAACAAAAACAAGAAGGAGAGATTTAGAGACTCAGAGGAGAGGACATGGCCGTGTGGAACTGGAGGCAGAGACTGGAGTGAAGCGGCCACAAGCCAAACACTCCTAGAGCCCCCAGAACAGGGAGAGGCAGGAAGGATCCTCACCCTGGAGTCTCTGGAGGGAGTCTCAGCCCTGCAGATATCTTGATCCCAGGAGCCGGAGGTTTTGGTGAGCCGAGATCGGGCCATTGCACTCCAGCCTGGGTAAACAAGAGCGAAACTTCGTCTCTCAAAGAAAAAAAGAAAGCCTGGTGCTGTGGCTCACGCCTGTAATCCCAGCACTTTGGAAGGGCGAGGCGGGTGGATCACGACGTCCGGAGATGGAGACCGTTCTGGTAAACATGGTGAAACCCGGTATCTACTAAAAATAGAAAAAATTAGCTGGGCATAGTGGCGTGTGCCTGTACTCCCAGCTGCTCAGGAGGCTGAGGTTGCGGTGAGCGGAGATCCCGCCACTGCACTCCAGCCTGGGTAAACAAGAGCAAAACTCCGTCTCAAAAATAAATAAATAAAAATAAATAAACAAATAGGATATTCTGGGTCACAAATTAATTAGAAAAATATGGCCAGTCGAGGTGGCTCTTGCCTGTGATCCCAGCACTTTAGGAGGCCTAGGGGTGATCCACCCTGATCACCTGAGGTTGAGTTCAAAACCAGCATGGCCAACATGGTGAAACCCCATCTCTACTAAAAATAAAAATCTTATGCTGGGCATGGTGGCTCATGCCTGTAATCCCAGCACTTTGGGAGGTCAAGGTGGGCGTATTGCCTGACGTCAAGAGTTCAAGACCAGCCTGACCAACACGATGAAACCCCCATCTTAAAATAAAATAAAATAAAAACACAAAACTTAGCTCGGCATTGTTGTGGGCTCCTGTAATCCCAGCCACTCAGGAGGCTGAGACAGGATTGTTTGAACCCAGGAGGTGAAGGTAGCAGTGAGCAGAGATTTCACCACCGCACTCCAGCTCAGCTGATGGAGACTCTGTCTCAAAATAATAATAGTAATAATAATTAGGGAAAATTTATATATATATACACACACATACACAAAGGAAAAAATCCAGGTGTGGAGGCTTACTCCTGTAATTCCAGCACTTTGGGAGGCTGAGGTGGGAGAGCGGATTGATTCCAGGAGTTCAAGACCAGCCTGGCAACATGGGTGAAACCCTGTCTCTACTAAGAAAAAAAAAAATTAGCCAGGTGTGCTGGCATGGGACTGTAATTCTGGCCACTCAGGAGGCTGAAGCAGGAGAATTGCTTGAACTGAGATCGTGCCACAGCACCCAGGCTGGAGTGCAATGGCTCAATCCCTGCTCACTGCAACTGTGGCCTCCAAGGTTCAAGTGATTCTCCTGCCTCAGCCTCCTGAGTAGCTGGGATTACAAGCACCCACCACCAAGCCCAGCCTGGGCCAGGTAGGCCTGGGTACCCTGATGGTTTCCTCTCTATGACACATTGGGAACTTTTTTTCTGAGACAGAGTCTTGCTCTGTGCCCAGGCTGGAGTGCAAGTAGCCTCGGCTCACTGCAACCTCCACCTCCTGAGTTCAAGCAATTCTCCTGCCTTAGCCTCCTGAGTAGCTGGGATTACAGGTTGCACGCCACCACAACCAGCTAATTTTTTTATCTCGGTAGAGAGGAGGTTTCACCATGTTGGTCAGGCTGGTCTCAAACTCCTGACCTTGTGATCTGCCCACCTCAGCCTCCCAAAGTGCTGGAATTACAGGTGTGAGGCACCATGCCTGGCCAACACATTGGGAACTTGATGTCCTTTGCCTGGCGCTGTCTCCCTGAGGGCCAGGAGTGCACCCAACCCTTCTCTTTGTCCCTACCACCCAAGACAGAGTCAGGGTCAGAGTCAGGCACATTTCTTTAGCATTTTTTAAAAAATAATGTGGGTATCACTTTTGTATCTATGGCTCTTTACAGTTAATTGTTTATTTCTGTGGGAAACTAGTGTTTGGTTTTCAAAATACCACCAAGTGTCATTTTTCTACCTCTCTGACCAATCTGCTTGCTTTTATTATTTATTTATTTATTTATTTTGCTTGCATTTAAAAAACATTTTATTGAGGTATTATTAACATGTACAAAGTTGTAGATATTTAAAGAGTGCAAATCAATGTGTTTGGGGATAAGCCTATGAAACCATCACCACCATCGAGCCCTTAACATATCTATTGCCTCCCAGTTTCCTTACAACCCTATTATTATCATTAGTGGCAAGAAAACATAGCATAAGATCTATCATTTTAGCAAATTTTAAGTATACACTTGTTAGCTATAGTCACTATGTTGTGCATTAAATTCCAAATGCTCACTCAATTTATACCTGAAGGTTCATACCCTTTGACCATCATTTCCCCATATCTCGCAACCTCTGGCAACCACCATTCTACTCTCTGCTTTGCTGTGTTTGACTATTTTAGATTCCATGTATAAATTAAACCATATAGTATTTGTCTTTCTGTGTCTGATTTATTCTCCTGGATGGACCTGAAGAACATTATGCTTGGTTTTTAAATGTAGCTCTTACTCAAAATTCTGTTCTTATTCTCTCTGACACTTCATATTCTGTAGCATTTTGTCATGAGATCCTTGGGGTGTTGCTTTGCCAGCCTGAAACGTCTGTGGCTGGTGGTGCCTTTGCCCAAGTTTTGTTCAGGCCCATTGGGCTCATTCTGTCCACTCAGTCTGGTAAGCTGTGCCTGGATCCCACACCTGCCAAAGGTGTGCAGGTGCAGAGTGGAGAGGAGTGTATGAACAAGTGAACATGGTGTCCAGCCATTGCACACAGCCAGATACACTGGCTGCATCAGGGAGGGCAGGTCCAGGGATCTGCATGGGCACTGGCTCTCTGCAAAGCTACAGCTGGACCAGGCGTACTGCAAGTGGCTTCCACTGCTGGCACAAGGGAAGGTCAGGGTGCTTGGAAGTTTGAAGACGCTGGAAACTGCAGTATCCCAAAGAGGGTGTCACTGCCTGGCTTGGAGATATCCTAGGTCTGGACTCCTCAAAGGGCTTCATCTCTTCTCTCCTCTCTTTCTCTTGTTT